ATTTGCTATCCCCAGAAGGCTTAGTTTTTCTTCTCTGATGTCCTGCAGAGTGTCTAAATTCAGGGACAACTCTGGCAAAGACTTTAAGATGCTGCTTTTAAAGTGTATTATAGTAGTGTCTAGCAACCACACCCCCATTCTGCTAGGTACTTTACAAACATATAATGCACAGAATATATCCTGAAAAGTTCTGGAAGTACTTTGTGTACAATTTGATCCTGTTAATTGGTGCTCCAAAGAGACCATGTAGATTGAATAAACTCAAATTTGTTTGCTAGTCTTTTGAGAATCAGTACCTAATGATTCCACTACTTAATCAGCTGCCATGGTCTGAGCTGGACAAGACAGTCACAAAATTAATATCTGCATAAGGCAAAGGTGGAATAATAAGTTTAATAAAGTAGTTCTTCTGGGGGGGGGAAATGCCAAGTCTATTTTAATTTTAATCATTGCCTACACCATTAATGGACAGTTCAGATTTAGGTTTTCTAGCAGGTAACATCTATAGAAAATAGTATGCATTTTAATATGCTTTCTTCTAACTAATAGTGTAAGTATGTCATTTTGCTTTAGCCTACATACAATGAAATAATATTGAAATGATTATTGTAAACAGCATACATGTCCTGTTGTTGGCTTCGCTTCAGATGTTTCTTCACATTTGGCTAAGTTCAAGTAATAAATTGCTGAAAAACTGGAAGACGGTCTGGAAGCAGATTAGTCATCTGACTCAGTATTGTCTTTTAGTTTGCCACAAGAAATCTTTCCAATCTATGAGATCATGGATTAGCTGGTTGGAAAATTTAGAGAGGCATGAAGAACATTCCCTTTTTTTGCTGCCTTCTCTTTGAAACCTGCAGGATCTCAGCAAAGCATAAATGACAAATGACTCTTCTTTCCAAGCTTTACCGCAAATATGTATTACGATGAAAAAATAAGGCATCTGAATTGATAACTCCTCATTTTATCTAATTTTGGACATTGTAGGTGGCATTTATGTCATGAGATGCAGATTTACATGTTTGAGACAGTGGTTTAGACTTGCATTATAATTCATGAAAAGAAATGAACACTTGTAGAACGTGATTCACCTCAGATTTCTAAAAACAGGTTATATAAATTTCACTTTAAAAGTCCTTTTTCTTCCCATTGAGGGGAAAAGGCAATGATTAATTCTAACATGCTATCGATGCTACCCATGTAGGTGATATGATGTCTGTTCTGTTTGTCCATGGGGAAAAGTGGTGGTAGTGACTGATAAATAGATCTAATGCTTCAAGGCAAATTGTTAGGATTTGTAGTCTCCTTCATACGCCTTTCAGGATAGTGAACATCTGTGGGTTTTATGACCGCTAGGTTGCAAAGAGGTCACTAAACCTAAACATATTGACACTGTTAGAGTTGTTAATGTTGAATTTAGTGTCGCAAAAAGTAGCACGTATTGATATAATGGTATTCTTATTACATGGCAAAGATGTGCAGTAACTGTTGTGTATTATTGCTGCAGATTTCTATTTATGTGGATTTCTTTTAAAAGCATGCTTTATATTTCCTTGGATCCACCTGAAGGGTTTTGAGGATCTTTACATCATTATTATAAAGCGCTTTTCTCTCAGTTACTGTAACTGTACAACCAAAGCACGCTTGTAACCCAGCTGCCGCGTGAGTGCATGCGTGGACCCTGCAAGCGACCGTGGACCTTGGACCACCCCAAGGCACAGGAGGCGGTGGCCTCTTGACACCCCACAGCGCCTTCCTCTGAACCCCCCGTGCTCCCCTCCCAGCCCACCCCGTGTGAGTTCCTTGAGGATGTGCTTTGTCCATGAGAAAATGTGGAACTAGGTGCTATAAAATGTATAGTCACTTTAAATTTAATATTGGCTTGGAAACAATAAGATGACTCTACTTGGAGTCTAAATTGCATTACAAATGTGGGCTAAAAATTTCCTCGCAAATGTTCTTTGCTGTGAGGATGAGCTGTATACTGCAGAGGCAGATCACAAGTTAGGCTAACGATACAGCTTTTGCTCTTGTGGGCAGAGTAGATGACATCTGTTGTGACTTTTTTGTTGTTGCTTGGTTAGTTTATATCATGAATTATTTTTTCTTTTCTGGTACCGTACCACTTTGCTTATTTGGCTGCGTTGAAGTTGCAACTTTATTGCTCAACATACTTGAATATAATGATCTCAACGGCAAGAACATTCCATCCTCTCCTTGCATAACAAACAGGTTATGCTTATTTTATAATTGAACTTTGCATTCTTCAGAAAACGTAGTTTTATTATATTCCGTGTCTCTTTTTCTAGCTTACTTTTATATGCGTGCGAAGGGGAGGCAAAGCGAAGTGGGACTGGGCTCTAAGAAATCTTGTCTTCAGTTGCAATCTTGCTGGAAGTTGTTACAAATTTTATTCTTTTCTGCATCCTTGGAAGGGAACTGCATCCAGCGAAGTAACCGTCATAAAAAGGCAAGTTGTAGGTTGCAGCAAGGACGAGGGTTATGTTCGCAGGGACCAGGAAGAAGGGTGATGGCGGAAGGCATGGACGCGCTGCGTGCAGGGGAAGGGTTGGCTGGCGCCTGTTGGTCAGCGAGGATGCGAGGGGAAGGGTCGCGGTGGCAGCTGGGAGAAGGGGGAAGAAGAGAGAGAGATGTACATCTTAATAGTTACTAGTGGGAGGATTTTTTTTATGGGATTGTAAATAAACCAGTGCCACTGATTTACTATTTGAAGATTTATATTTGAGCAAAAATACTGTTTCTTCAAACTTAAAAATTAGTGAAATTGATACTTCAATGAGCATATTTTCTTCTGTAACAAGGGCTAGAACATTTTAACACCAACCAATTTCTCCCTGGGTTTCCTTCTCTGCCCTGCATTTGGGAACTGGCTATTTTTTGTTGACTGAACTCAGATGCCGTGCCGTCCTGTGTTTGGCAGAATGGCCGAAGTTTGAATTTGGCCTGTATTGGTTAAATCAAGCTTTTGATTTGGTTGCCTATTGTCCAGTATGCTAATCCATGTTATTTCCAGCTGAGTTAAAGTGTAAAGTCATTAGAGCAGCGTGGGCCTTTTGTTTGTACAAGGAGAGGTTAAGTTCTGCAGGCAGCTCATACTGCTGCCAGCATGGCTGCTAATCTGAGTTTGGGGATTAATTACCTGTAACAGCTGCAGGACAGAGGCCTGTGTGGAGCAGAAGTCTGATTAGGCCAAAGTTTGAAAAGCTTTGTCGTGGGGAAAGTTTTTCAGCATTTTTCAGGAACTTGAGTTCTGGTTTAATTTCTTTAGAACTGGGTACTTAAATACGACTATATTCAGCCTAACAATATCCTAATGTTGATATTTTAAACCCTATAACAGAATTAACAAGCAATTTAAACTATATTAGCCTGTAGCTATTTATGGACTGTCAATGTTGTTATAGTCTTTGTTTTCGAGTTGCTCCTAATTCAGCTTTTGGTAACCGCAGATAGCTGTTGGGGGTGCAAGGGGTAAGAAAGCCAAACACAGCTTATGAACAGATTTCAAAAACAATTTGTATTGGGGTGGTTTGGAGATGAATATATATATATATATATATATATATATAATTCTTTTATTTTAAATGCAATTTTTTCCCAGATCCTTCTGATTAAAAGTTAGTAGGTATTAACATTTTTGGACATGCTTTTAAATGCACTCAGAAGCTGTTGTTTTCCTGTTTGAAACACTTTGTTTTAAAATTCAGCACTAATTATTATTATGCACAAGTCATTTAACTTTCATTTTATGCCCTTGTACAAAAGAAGTGGAAAACTCTGGTTTGGAATGGAGGAGAAGTACACAAGAAATGAAAACAAATACCAGTTTCCTCACAAAGAGAGACTGGCTTTAACAAAAGAAATATGTGCTGTGGACTTGCATTAGGAATGAGCGAGAAGTCAATTATGATTGTAGATAGTAGCATAAACATCCATTTTTGCTAAAGTATAACTTATTAAATCTTCAAATGAAAGCTATAATCCAATCATCACTTGACTAACATTACTTAAAATGATCCAGTAAGTTAATACCCAACTTTTTTTAGGTTTCAAATCCACCTAGTTAAATAAAACCTTGCAATTCTCTTTAAAAACCGCACAATTTTTTTTCCCTAATAGATACTGATTTTGACATCTTTGGCATTGCTTTTGTCTTCCTTTCTTCTTTTTCCCAACTTAGTATTGTAAGAAATTACAATGTTTCTATGTGATAGGAACTGCAGTGGAATGAAAGTGCTCATTAAGGAAAAATATTCTTATTACTAGTTTTGGGTGGAAAGAATGTGTAGTCCTCATCAGGGAGTTGCAGCTTTTAAGCTTCTGTGGGTTATTTCCAAATAATGGGTGAATTGTATGCAAAGTAATGACCGTTTTAAGAATTTGTAGGCTTAACAGTACAATTACCGAGTAATTCTGAATTTATTTCATGTTTCTATTTCAGTCAGAGGAAATGTTCTCATAAAGCTGCTGGTATACATTAGGAGTTAGCAGATGGGGTTAATATCTATTCTCCAGTCTGTGGACGATAACTTGAAAAAATGTAAACCTGTCTGTTGCTTATATATGTCTAATGTATACATTCTGTCACATACGTGAGAAGGAAAAATGTGGAGGGGTGTGTAGCATATCAGAAAGTACAGCTCTCTACCTGAATGACTGCCAGTGCCAGAATGTTGTGTTGAGCAGAACAGTGAAGGGTGATGGTTGATTGCTCCTGTTCAGACATGTAGATAATTGATAGTGGGGCCCAATTAACACTAAGTAGTCCTGAAGCCAACCTCATTATCACATCTTACTTAAGTACTTGTCTTAATTATTTATTTTATTTTCATCTCTTCCTTTTGGTTACTTAAACTTTCTTCCTCAAGAGGTCATCGGGTCTGAGAAAAACCTTGGTTTTACCTGCAGCCAGTTATATAAGGTATGCCTTGATGGTTACACATTGCTGATAATCCATCTTTTTCTGCTGTTTTACTTAGATGACAGTGCCTCTGCTGCAAGCAGTATGGAGGTAACGGACCGCATTGCCTCTCTGGAGCAACGTGTCCAGATGCAGGAAGATGACATCCAGCTGCTCAAATCTGCCCTTGCCGATGTGGTTCGACGCTTGAATATTACAGAGGAACAGCAGGCCATGCAGAACAAGAAAGGACCTACCAAAGGTTTGCATTTCAGATATATCTAAAATAGGTAGTGCCATTCAAAGTGTTTTATATATACTAAAATAGGTTATTCTTTGGATCTTTGAAATGCTCAAAATCAACAAATCAAACTAAAGAAAGAAATAATTTTGAAATTTAACCTGTTAAAGAGAGCACATAGAAATCCAAGTGGTTAAATCTGTGAGCCTTCCCATGAACCAGTGAAACATTTCCGTGTTCTTGCCGCTTAAGCCACTCCCTCTGTTTAACCATGGCTCCCACTTCCTGACTTTTGATCAAGATTGTTTTATAAACTCTTTGGGGAATGTATTGTCTTCTATGGGTGAAACTCCGAAGAGTTTTTTTCTGATAGAAAACATTAATTACATTTAAGTAAAATGTAATTTTCACTTAATTAAAAATGTGTCTTAAGTGTCTTTGGATGGTGCAGGCATAGCCAAAGACAGAGCTCTGAGCTAGTGCAGATGTGACGTGACTGAGGAGGTGGTGCAACACCAGCCACAGGTACGAAGGAGAGGTAGAGCTGCAGCTGGTGCCTGACCCCGTTGCAGCGCAGCAGATCCAGAGCCAGCGAGGTGGCAGATGTGGCAGGCGTTGCCACTCGGCAGTACGCCGTGCTGCGCCCGTGGGCTGCAGCGTGCTCTCTCTTGGTTCCTGCTCTGCAAGAACGGGTTTGTCTGTACGCAGATCAGAAAAGCTGGAGTTGAACATCCGGCGCTTCGCGGCATTAAGGGTTTATTAGAACCCAGCCGGCGTGATTTACTGTAGTCAGTGAGGCTGCGAAAGCCTGGGAGACTTGCCTATCTGCAGCTTAGCAGAAATGCATGAGGTGTTTTTGGGTAGTCTTAGGAGTACGAGCGGTGGCAACCTAGATGTGGAAGAAAAGTATGGCTGACTTCACAGGCTCTCTATTGTCTAAATTAAGAAATTGTTTGTTTTGGGGTCCCAATATATATTAATATAAATTAAAAACTTAATTCACATCAGAAGTATGATATGTAATTATGGATTCATAATTTTCTCAGCTGGAAATTAGGACCTCCTTTCATTGCCGTTATATATTTGTGAGTTTGACAGATATTGACTTTTAGGCATTGATTTAACAGAATAGGTAAGGAACTACTTACTTAATTTGCTGAACTGAGACGTTGTGTTTGTTATAATGTTTTGTGTCTGGAGATGAGGAAAGGAGAAAGGGACAGAACTACAGAGCCAGATTAGTTGATTGTATATCATGCTAGTTGTTGGCCAGAATATGCAGTAAATGTCTGTGGTCTTGTTTTCCTGTTCCCTTTCTGTTATATTCTCCTCATTTTGTCTTTTGTCTGTTTGATTGCAAAAAAAAAAATTAAAATATCAGATAAGTTAAATGTTACTAAAGATAGCTTCCACTGTGACAAAACGTTCCACCAAATCTGGTTGTACAAGGCATTCAGAGACTTTATGTTGTCCGTAAAATAGGTATTATCCGATGCATGGAGGAAATAAAGTCTAATAATTATTACTGAGTTGAAACCAAATCAGTTCTTCTTGCCTGCTGGCTTTACTTAGAAAATGCAGACCAGATTTTCATGGATTCTGTCAGCAGAGTTGAACTCTAAATCAGGAGACGCTTTCTTGGTCGTGGCAGATCATAAAGCCATAGTTCAATGTACGTTGAAGAAAAGCTGCTGTAAGCCTATCCTTCTACCTTCTGTGGCTGTTTTTTGGTTTGTGGAGTTTTTGGGGTTTTTTTTGGTTTTTTTTTGGTTTTTTTAAATGTGTATATGACATGGATACTTCTTAATGCATGTGTGAAATGACAGTGTAAGACGTTTTACTGTGATAATGCAAATGGAGGACTGCAAAGCCACTTGCTCATCCATTACAAATCACTGAAGTGAGTCCTGATAATTGCCAACTAAATCCAACTAATTTCTGGAAATAATTGCTACTGTAATGGTTTATGTAAAGAAATTTTAATTTTACTATATATCAGTTGTATCATTAGTGTATGGTCAGCCTTATTAAATGTACTCTGTAACATAAAACAGAATCTGAAGTATCCTGATCGTTTGTTTCTTCCAGCAGTTTTGTCAAATACGATAGATTTCCCATGCTGGCCTGTTTTTCCTGTAGTAGGCACAGCTACTTTGTAACAGACTGCATGCAATTACTTACCATAAGACTAAGTTGAATTTCTGTATTGGAATAGCATTACGGAGGCTCGTGATGGAGACTGTTAGGAGAGGGGTTTGCTTAGATGTGGGTGAAACTGGAGGGGTGGCTTCTTGTGTTTTGCCACTTGGGCTGCATGGGACTCGATCCATTTTCTTTCTGTCGATCGTTTAATAACAAATTCCCCATTTAGAATTGTAAAAAGTGGAATTTGAGCTCACAGAGTGTCACACAAATCTCACCCATGCAAACTGGGGTTTGAAGCATGTTGTATGCTGCTTCTTTCATTTGATCTATAGATGAAGTAGATTAGGGTTAAAAGTGTATGTGTGTTGGGGGAAGGCTCGTGCCTTTGGAAAACAGGATCCCCAGTGTACCGTTTAAAGTCCGGAACGAGAAGCTTCACGGGACAGAAGATGACATTTTCTGAGTACTTCAGATTTAAAACTGGTTTAAAGATTTCAAGTTTCAGGCTTTCAAGCCTATAATGAAAAAAAGCACTTAGCTTGTTTTCAGTCTGTGTTCTTGTTCTAGACTTGAACTAGGCAGCTTAAAAGCAGCGTACATCATGGAAAGTGAGCTGCTTATCTTGTCCATTTGTGGAGCTCCTTCACTAATGGTGTTTTGGGTTTTTTTTACCCCCTTCCTTATTTAATTCAGCCACTTGGTGGAGTTCAGTATGGCTTCCTGCCTTTGTTTTACTTGTGTCTGTTGTTCTTTCCTTTTGCAATTATTGGTTTGTTTGTAAACTTAACAGCCCTATTAATCCATAGATCAGAGTATGATTAAAAAAGCTGCTGCTGAGGCTGATAAACATGTCAGTCCTGCTACCACAGGTAAGATCTTGAAGCAACAGAACTTCCAAAATAAACCTTACTGACAAAGCAATAATACCGATGTGTTTGAGTTACTGACATAATAGCAGTGAGGTGTTTGGGGTTGTTTGACTGTTACGTCAGTTACCACTGGTGTGAAATAGCTGGTGTAAATAAAACAAAATGCCTCCAGAGTAAATAGTGGATTAATTGAATAATGTATAGTTTTTCTGTGTGCCGTGTAGTTTCATGGCATTGCTTTCCACGCTAGATGATTGTGGGGCTGGATCTTTAAATCTCCAGCTCCAGAAGTGTGTGTTCTGGATTGGCTTGGATTTGAAGCAAACCCTCTGTTAAAGGTTGCAGGGCTTATTCCTGGCTGCTGCTGGTTTCGATTTCATAAGGCTAGGAGAGTAACCAGACTCCAGCTAGTTCACTCCAGCTACTTTTTAATAGGCATTTTCTATATAACTATAAAGAAGGAAAATATTTTATTAATTTTTAAATTTAACTTTAATTGTTGTTCTAATTCATGTTCTCAAAGCCTCATTAAAGTTTTGTGAGCTACAGAAATCTTGTCAGGAAATAAGCCTACAGCTGCTCCACTGTAGCTATCTGTGCTTTTGTAATATGCAACAGAATCAGTTTTATACACAGAGATTAATTACGGCATTGCAGCACTTAGTCAGGAAACAAGCAGTAAAGCATCCAGCACAAAACTGTAGAAGGAGTTTAATTTGGAAGAATGAATACTGAAGTAAATAGGATCGTGATATCTGAATCCCTTAATTAAAAAACAAAACAACAAAAAACCAAAAACAAACAAACAAACAAACAAAAAAGCCCAAAAAAAACAAACAGAAGCATGAGAAGCCAAAGTACAGTAAGTTTTAAGTATTTTGTATAAGCTCTAAAGACAGCATGAGTCTGTTAAAATAGATCATGGAAGCCAGGGCTGGAAGGCACCATGAATTAATTTAAGTCTTGTTTAGCCTCGCCTTAAAGCTTCACATAAAATCAGACAGCCCTTGCTCTTCCTATCCGCGGTACGAACGATACTGTCTCACCCATCAGTCCTCTGCAGTCACAGGCTCTCTGATCCTCAGTGAGCATGCATAAGATTTTTCTTATTTTTTTTCTTTGTTGACTTGTTTTCATGTCATCCTTCAGGCTTCTAAGCCCAGTAAGCTTTATTTCTTCAATATTTCCTTATGGGTTGTTACCTAAATTTCTCCCCTCTGAACAAACAAATGATGAATACATGACAAACAAGTATATATTTTAACAAAGTTTCAAGACAAAGTTTCTCTTGAAACTTGCATTCCTGGGTAGACCATATTTACTGACCTAATCTTGTCAAGGCACAGGCTTTCACATTTATCTTCTGTTGTTCAGTATATGAAAACTTCAGGTGAATAAGTCAGTAAATGCTTGCCGTCAGTGCTACAATAAGATGTTATCATAATGTAACCTAGGACTGCGTACAATTGTTAATTTTTAGATTTTTTAAAATTTTTGCTTTTTAGATTATTTATCCTCAGCAGTCTTTTTTCAAAGAACATTTCATAGGTATGCTCTCTGCTATGCTCTCCAAGTTCAGTGAAATTTTATCTTGCGTTCCTTAAGTGACTTGTGACTGCCGCCTTCTCTGGGGTGTTGTTTCTCCGAACCCAGAGACTTTTGGCATCTTTATAGAGCCGGCTTGTGATACATGGTTCTGTTGAATTTCAAGTGATGTACACAGCTTTCTTCCCTGCTGCAGGGAGAGCACTAGTTGTGTTTGTGCCTGTGTTTTCAGGGTATGGTCCACTCTAGTTCTCATGTTTGTACTCATTGCTTGCAGTTTTAATCACCGTTTGTTTTTGCAACTAATTTCTAACGTACTTGATTGCGACTTTTCCATTATTCTAATATTAATTACAAGTATGACATGTATATCATTTTTTGAGCCAACGTTTGATCAGAAGAACAAAGGTAGATGATGTCAGCTCATTAAATCCACTGTTTCACTCATTTCAATCACTTTTTCTAACTAAAGGGTAAAATTCCTTTTTGTCAAACGTAAGCCCACATTTTTTTAAAAGAAGGGATTTTGGGGGGGGGAATAAGGATTTCTTAATATATCATTTGCTTGTGGAAAACATGCAAGAACATTGAGGGATAAAGAGCAGGAGTTTCTGGGATGGCAACCTGCCTTCATTTCTAGCACTCTTCTGAATGCTGTCCAGGTGGGCAAGAGAATGATACTCTTTTAAGAGAGCAGGACTACTTTCAGTGGCAACGGCTGCCTTCGCACTTACCACTAAGCTCCTTGAGCTAGAACAGAGTTTTACAGATGAGACAGGCTATAGAATTGTGTGCTTAAGCCATATGGAGATCACTTGTTTGATAGGATTATAAAAAGTAATAATAATAATAAAATTCCTCCTTGTTAAAACCCTTATCTATGGTGAATTTGGCAATAGTGAAACAAAAATTGCCTACCACACAGGTATTTTTAAATATTCTAATGTTGTTTGGGAGAAAAAACGGAAAAATAAAATTATTATTTCATCTTCTCCTTGTTTTACAGCAAGACCGCTGGTACAAACCCTGCCTTTAAGGACTACTGTTAATAACGGAACTGTGTTACCAAAGAAACCAAGTGGCTCTTTACCTTCCCCGTCAGGAACCAGAAAGGAAACTGTATCACCAGCAGCAAAAAGGTACACATCTATCAGAAACATAATCGTTAAATTGAGAAAATAGTGTATCTCCTCTTTTAAGCCTCTCGTTTTTCTTACTTGCAAAGCAATGGTCTAAATATTTAGTTCAGAAAGAAAAGGAGAGATGGATTTCATTCTAAGAGGCTTTAAATTTATTTGGTCTAATTAGAATTAAGGTTATTACCATGACTACTGAAAGAAGGCACGATGCTTGGTCTACTAGTTTGTGTTATTTTCTTGTACTACAGTCTAGCATAGAGAGGATAAAGCATTTTTACTCTGCTGTTGCATAACATGAAAAGTAGCACAAGGATTCTTTTAGGAGCTAGTAGAAGATACATAGTCTGCAGAGAAACTGTGCTATCATTACAAATCAGTATGTTACCTTTGGTGGTTTCCTCTCACTAAAAATTGTCATAGAAACTGCATGTGCAATGTTAGAAGCATCTCAGGGAGGAGGAAAATTCTATGCCTAGCACATATTTATGCAAATTAAAACATCCATCTTTAGATATCTTACCATTAGCATGTATTTAAGTCCTTTTAGAAATTACTGCTCTGTCTCAATTTGCTTTGTGTGTGTGGTGTTTTTAAGTGGGCTACATGTTTTATACATCTAGGTTATAGGGAACGCAATGGATCGGGTGCAGCAGGTTCAAGTTACACGTGACAGTTATTGTGGTGCTAATCTGCTGTATGGTTTGCCTGTAAAAGATAATAGCGTGGCTTTTTTTTTTTTTTACATTTTTTTTGTTGTGTGTCATCCTCAGCTTTTTGTAGTGATGATGCTGTCAACTCTGAGGAGGGCAAGTTGTGGAGATGAGAGTGTTAACCTGCTAAGATCTGAGGTCTCTTTTGTAAAGAGAATTTTTCCTTAAAGGGGAGATGGTGACTAAGGATATGCCTGTCTTTGTTACTGTGTTGAAGGGGACTGATTTTCCAGGAAACTCCAGGCTTTGTTATTGTAGAGAAGACAGAAGCTATGCCTTGCACAATTAAATTTGGAAAATACCATATTTGTTTGTGTCACATAAATGTAATCCTATGAGTGCCTATGAACTGGGGCTTGCTTCAGCTGTAGGTTTTGGCAGGCTGGTCTGAATCGGCCGTTAAGATAAGACAAGGCAGGCAAATACTGTATAAACTATTCCATTATCAGAATTATGTTATCAGAATTTTGAAAATGGGTGAAAGAACCTGCTTTTTAAAAAATAAAGTTTATAAGTGTTTAAAAAGGAGTACTATTTTGTATATGGGGAATTTTTAAAGAACTGTTCTTTACAAGTTATTCTTTCTAAATAATTCTCATAATTTCATTCTCACTAATAAAGTTTCAATAGTAATTATAAAACACATGAGAGAGCGCAAGCATTGGCACGCTTCACTTGTGTACAGAGGGTGTGATTCCGAGTCTCTACTCTCCATCTCTTAAGGTTCAGCCTAGGACTTTCTGCCCCAGAGTAGGGTGGATGAAATGCCGGTCAAGATTCTCTATTCTGAGAGTCCATTGTGTAATTCAGGCAGTCCGTGCGGTATTGCCTGCAGCCTGTAGGCATTATCCTAGCTCAGGATCCCTGCAGATAATGCCACGCTGCAGCCCTTCCACCTGACCCATCTGCAGTCTGGATACCCTGAGTGCCAGTGGGAAAGTCCTTAGGGAGCATCCTTAGGGAGTGTTTTTGGACTGTCTTGGTTCCTGTATGAGAAAGTCTTCCACAGGATAAGGATTTAATGTCCTTTTATTATGCTTTATCCCTTCTCTTTGCTGAAGAGGCTAGACTGAAGGAGCTTTAAATAAGTGGTAAGAAAATGTATATTCAATTTTGGAAAAGAAAAAAATACACATGGGCAGTTTTGCTGAAATTGATGGACACTTATTAAGAGTGCTTAGGAGAGCAGGGTTATTGCGTGTCCTGCAAAAAGCAGTTTTAAGTCCAGGTGCTATGGAATTCCTGTTCCCTTCAAATGCTCTAAAATTCTGTATTGATAGTATTTAATATGCAAATTTTATTAAATTATATTAAAGTATATTTCTATGCCTTGCCTATAAATATACTTCAACATGAAGAGTGTGGAATGGTAAGGACCTCACCAATGAATTACTGTACAAACCTTTTTTTGGTAAATTAGTCTCTACTTTTAGTAGCTTTTGTTAATGAACCTTAAAATAACTGCTGAGGTTTCATGTTTTTCTAGTAAATCATGCTCCAAATAGTCAACATTTAAGGATGATGTACTAAGTGTTCCAAGTAGCTTACTTGCAAATAGTCAAGTAGATGAATTAATTATGAACTCAGTAATATGAATTCATTCATACTTTATATTTACAATGGACCCTTTTACATTCAAGAACTATGTTTATGCATAAAACAGTAATGGAAATATAGCAGCAAGATAGAATAGCTTTTTTTTAAGGGGTAGAACTTGTTTATTTGTGTTAAGAAGCTTTACTCGGTGTTGAACATTTTACAGATGGTGTGTAATTTTTAATAATTTTTTTTAGTTCTGATTTTTGTCATAGTTTTATAGTGCAGTTTTCATATAAACTGACTCTAAAACTGCTACCGCTTCGTAGTATAGGTATTCTTTAGTCCAAAATATGGTAATTTGGCATAGCAGCTCTAGAGTTAAGTATTAATTTCAACTTGGATACTTTTAATACTTTTCCTATACAATATAGGTGCAGAACTGAAAAATCTGATTTTTTTCAAAATGTGAAAAAGTAAAATTTGAAAAGTGAAAGTATAAAAAAAGAAAGAAAAATGTATTTTTTCTGAGTTTTCTTTTAAACCTTTGGTCTGCTGTTGTGAATTACAAGTATCTGCTATTACTATACTAGAAAAACATGATCTTAAATTTTTTTGGTACCTGTGATCTTATCTTCAAAGGAGACAAACATCCAGGTTAATCAAGTCCCTCACAAGTATTTTACTGAACACAGTTACAAAAAGGTGGATAACAAATAAATAACTTCTAATTTGTCCATTCTCTGCTGCTTTCACAATTTAGGTTAGGAAGTGTGTGATACCTGATGGAAATTACATGTCTGTCCCTTGAAACAGTATGTTGTGCGTATTTATATAAATACATGCAAATAATGTCTGTGGGGACCGAGTGTGTATCCATACATTCCACTGCTTAGAAACAGATGCGCTTATTGATATGTCTGCAGACACAATCTCATTTCATAGAATAGCCGTATTTAAATATGTTGGTTAACTCATTTGAACCCACAGGTTGGTATACAGTTTATCTGCCTTGCTGGATTACCAAGGAGATGTGGTTCAGAGTTCACTACGTTTTCTGATTTCCCATTTAATATTTGAAATGGAAATTACTTCTTCTGGCAGGAATATAAAATTGGAGGTAATAAAAAAGGCTCGAGGCTGAAAGGGTTGGAACTAGCAGGCTTTCATTTGAGTTCTGCCACATATTCTCTCAATGACTTTATGCAAATTGTTTAACCTCTATGCATATTGGGTTTCCATATGTGAAATGTGTATCTCTGGATATCAGTAGGTTGTTATAGGGCCTAATGTGATAATTAGATCCAGATCTTGCGAAGTGTTGAGTAGCCTCAACTGACTCTGACTTCAATTAGAATTGAGGGCACCCCCCCCTCCCCCCTTCAGTGTTCAGGTCTCATATGGTCGGCACCCAGTTACCCAAGTTAAGGAAGGGATGAAATAACTTGAGTAGAGCAAAAGCACAAATACAAAACATAGGTCAACTGGATTATAAAAGTATATGGTGGTAATACAGTGCAAGATAGAAGGCCTGATGGTGCTGGTGATACTGGGGCCAAAAATTCTGGTCCAGCAGCAACAGGCGCTGCAGTGCTCAGGTGATGGGGTGCCGTGTGAACACAGCTGGGCGGCTTCCAGGTGCAAGCCGGCTAATGTAAAGCTGCAGTGATTCTGCGATGGGCTGGATAATCACCTGACACAGATAATCAAGAATTGCCTGCCTTTGTAAAGTACTTCAAAGTTGTCTTTGCAAAAAGCCTTTGCTCAGAGGGTTTGATTATAAAATTGATATATTTATTACTTTTGTGCTGTAGAAGCGTAAAAGCTATTTTGAGTACCAGCTTTTTGAACGCTGCCATATTTCTGTTCTGAATTTTGTACATAGAATAATGGTTCGAAATTTTCATTCAGAATAAGATGAGTTTGGTGTATCGTGAGCAGAACTTTCCCTTCCCCCTGCGCTCTTCCTTTCAGATGTAATGTGGCTTGAAGTTCGCTGCTTAACACTAAATTTGTCTTTGGAATTTGGCCAGCACACAGTAGTAATGTTTTGTGTTCCCTATTAAAATCTAGGGTTTTGTGACTCATCTAGGATAGCTTTGTTTCCAAGAATTGAGGGGGAAAAAGGAAAAAAAAAAAGTGTAAGGGAGGAGAATGCAGACAGTACCTTTCCCAGTAGGGATGCTGCTGCAGGCTGCAGGCTAGCACATACTTTGCCTTTCAAAAGGAGACAATCAGTCATTCTTTCTCCCCCAGCAGATTGCAAAGTATTACAATGGTGCAAAACTCTGACAATGGAGATCAAAAGGAAGAAGCTGGAACAAAGAAAACATAAAGACCTTTGTTTGTAGGGAGAATAAAATACTTTAATATGATAAATTCCTGTTCTTCAAAAGTCTAAACACATGGCCCCTAGGAAATTGTTCAGTCGCCTGGAATTAATGTTCTGTGTTCTGTTCTGGGGGCAACGATGGCTTGTAACTGGCACACACACAAACTCTATCGAACCTGCAATTAAGTCTTCTATTTAACACTTGACTCTCAAAGAAAATGTTTTAAAATAAACCGAATATAAACTAAAAAAGAAATCCCTCTCCACTGAGCTTCGAGTGGCAAAACTATTATGCCACTTCACTATATCTCTAACAATTAAAGTTATTAGTGCATTTTGCTCAAAGGCATAATGAAATTAAAGTCATATGTTATTCTTGTATTTATTCTAATTGATTTAAATGAGGGTCAGAAAGAGTGCTAGACAAGTTTCAAAATATTATTAATATCATCAGGTACTAAGAGCATTATGTGCTATTTTTTAATCTATTTTCTTGAAAAGCTTTTATTTTTTTCCCCACATATTTTGGTAATTAAATATATATCTATTTTAATTTTGGCCAGATTTGTTCACCACGATTCAGTAATGCAACCATCTGAAACATTCATGCTATGCGGTGGTATATGTATGTATATATGAGGATTTATTTTCTTGGTTTTAATGTTGCTTTTTTAATAGTCTTTGTCTTCTAGCTGGATCATCTGTCTTGTTTCTTCAGATAGCCTCTTTGGTTTTCTTTTTTTTTTTTTTTTTTGAGTCGCTTTAGAAACGGTCAGTGTATTGGAGCATTGCTGAGATTTTGTCATTCAAAGATACATTGGTGTTCTTAAATGTATGGTTTGAAATGATCAAACATCTAACTGAGTCAATAAGCACTGTGTTGTTTACTCTTGCACGTGATTTCATATCTTGAAAGCATGCAATTATGTCTTCTAATGTAAGGTTGTTTTAAATGTCTTGTTTCCACATTTTATTGTTGCATTCACTTTTTATTCTGCTTTGTTTACGCACCTCTCAATCTGGATTAAGCAGGTCTGTGAATCTTCTCAATGCATGCAAACTGAAAAAGCCTGCTCTAAGGTGAGGGATCCTTAATAGCTTTGTAGTGTTGAAGCTCAGTTGTTTTTCCTTTCCGTTTCGGTTCAACACAAAAAGTGGCTGTTTTAGTACAAGCATTAACATGGTAGAACTGTAATTATTATTCCCATTTTTAACATTTTCAGAAGTTCATGTTTAAAACTTTCTCATCATTGATAAATGCATTGCAAAACTTAGATAATAATTTCAGTTATGGTATCTGCGTTATCTCATACTAACATAATTTTTATTATAGGGGTGTTTCATTACACCACATTACTGTCTTAAACAAGTTAAAAATTGTGTTACCAAATGTTATCTTTTTAAATAATGGAAAATGCTCTCCTTTCCTATCACTAATGTGGAAGCCAAATTCTGGAATCCAGTTATACTCTTGCAAACCTGTAAGTTAAATGAATATTTTCTGTCGTTTTAAGTTCCTCCTCAGGTAATAGTGTATCTACTGTAGCCATGGATATAATCCCTGGTGTTTAACACTATCGCTACCAAAATGTGTATATGCCAAAATTGAGTTAATATAATGGAGTTATAATCCTCTTTTGCAACCACCTGCTAGTACTTCTCACTGGGCTTTTTTGGTTGTTGTGGAAAGCTTAAAATAAAATTTGTCAGAAGATAGCATTGCTAATTAGTTTAAGCAATAATGGACATAAGCCAAAAGAGTTTAAAAGAACTTTGTTCCTGTGGTAAAAGTAGTTTTTATACTGATACGAGACTTCATTATTCAGAACAAAGATAGCATTACACTTTTAAGCTTTAGTGCCACCCGTTCATTTTTTATCCACCAGTTCATCTTTTGAATGTTGGTAGCTATAAAAATAAAACCCCAAGCAACATTAAAATTAGTTTAAAATTGCTTCTGTAACTTACATTTTTTTTCTAACATTAGTATAATTTGGTAATTTCCTTAATTTAATTTCAATGTAGGCTGATATTTCCTCTTCTTTTCCTTAACTAGGAAAAGATGCCAAAATAAAGGTTTGATCCTGCAAAATCACACAGAGTGGATATTTTTGCAAGTACTCTATGTAAAGTAGTGGAAGGACTCAAGCTAATAAAGATATGTTATGTGGAGTAAACATTTCCAGTATCAAGCCTTTATTTTTTAACTGGAGTAGTATTAAACTGGATGATGTTGAGAGAAGCAGGGAGAACAGTTAAATGTTAACACTATATTATTTAATTTACTAGAGGAGGTTTTTCCATATGTTTGACACTGAGATGACTTGGATAATGTTAGGCTAGTGTAGGAGATACTTTCTTCTGAAATGAAGACAGAATTGAATTCTTTTTACTGCCTTTTCCCTTCTCCTCTGAATGTATTTTGTTCTGTGCCTGTGTGTAACTTTGCATTCTGCTTGCTCTCTTACATCGCTCTCTCCACAGAAACAGTATTTTTTTTAATTTCAGCTTAATTGTTTGAATCGTGCTTGTTTTTAATACAAAAACGCGGCACTGAATATCTGTTCTACCATTGCATGTTCCAGAAAGTTTTTTGTCAAGCTACCTGAGATGCATCGTAACATGCATCTGCTCTGTGGTGGATGGGGGCTTCCTTCCTTTCAGAAGAGTGGTTGCTTTGCAGAAAGACTCCGGTTCAGTTGTTCCCACCGTTTCTGTAACTGAGCCTCAGCTGAGGTGTTGAAACATTTCCCTCCTCGCTGGTAAAAAGACATGAGGGAGCAGGAATATATTTTAGAAAAAAAAAGTGTATCAATGGTGATGTACAGTTGATAAGCTGAATATTTTTTGGCCAGACAGAAAAGCCTGTCTCATTTCTTTTAGTTATGAAGAGCCAATGCCTCTCTTATACCACACACAAAGTGGGACAGAGCTTGAAGAGCTGAGATACCAGTGTAGGGGTAGTTGTTAGGGGCTGATGGGGAGGTTCGGAATAGTCCTCAAGGATGCTTGAGATGAGCCTTATGGTAGGCAGAGCATCCTGGGGGTGTACAGAGGTCAAGAGGGAGCTGGCTGGGGATGGTAAAAGGGGCGACTGGGATGAGACTGGGCCTTGAAGGAGCAAGAACAGAAAGAAGTGAAGTTTTCACAGAGAGAGGGAGCTTGTGGTTGGGATTTGGGTAGAGGGGTGTGAGCTTGAAAGTGATCGCTTCTGGGTGAGAGAGCTGCTGAAGGTGGCCATTTAGTTATGGGGATGTTGTGGGTAAAGGGCATGTTTCCGTTCTGCTCTTTGGAGAGGAGAAAACAGGACGGAACCGGGGTGGGGGGAAAACGAGACCCTGACACCACCGCCGTGGGGGTGATTCCTGCCTGGGTCTGGGTAACGCTGCCTGTGCCTCTCTGCTGCACAGGGAGCGCAGCAAAGTGAAAAGCATCACCCAGCTTGGGACCTTACCCTTAGCTACTCCTTCTCCTTCTAGGAAGCACTGCTTTATGGAGAAGTGCTTTGGACTAACAAATAACCGCAGTAATTTGTCTCTTATTAGGTGTAAGCTCTGAGTGGGCTTCTCTTAATTTACTAAATAATAACTGCTTGTGTTTTGGCTCACATTTTTCCATCAGAGAGAGCTGGGTCTCTAAGGGGTGCCATAAAGTCATACAAGAGCTCCCTGATAGCTATCTTGGCAGGAAAGATAGTTGAAGAATGAGAAAGTAAGGCAAGCTTTAAGCCTTTGAGAAACCCCTTGTCAGGGGATGTGGGGAATCTAATCTATTCATACATGTAAGTAGGAAGCATACATTTTTGACAAGCTAACGAAAAAATGCAGGCTAGCTTACCATTAATTGCACTTTGGGGTATGTTAAAACTAGCTTTGAACTGCAGAATAATTGATACTGAATGAAGACACAAAGATAGCTTGCTCGTGCTCAAATTTTGACCTACTTTTGGCATTCTGTGTAGTCTGGCTGGAGGTGTCGGGTAATGTTTTCTCTTTAAATCTTTCACTTCTTATTAAGAGATTCCGAAAGTCCAGAAGTGTGGAGTAGTAGTCAAGAGACTTGAAATGTGACCTGGAAAATAGGTATTGCAACTTACTCTGTGATATTAGTTTAGCCCATCTTCTATTTTATGATTAAGGAAAAAGCAGTATGTTTGTCTGTGTTGCACCAGGTACTCAGCAAAATTCTTATGTAGGCTCTGTAAGAAATCAAGTTATGGTTAAAACCAAAGTTGTAGTTATTTTTAGGGTCAGCTTTCTACTTGATACATTTCTCAAAAATATTTCTCATAGAGATATGTGCTTTTACAAGTGCCACTGTAAAACTTGCTCCTTTTTTTATTAGCACCGTTAAGAGAACCAGTTCAGCTGAGCGTGTGTCCCCAGGCAGTCGGAGGGAAAGCTATGGAGATTCCAAAGGGAGTCGCAACCGCACTGGATCCACCAGCAGTTCATCTAGTGGTAAAAAGAACAGTGAAAGGTAATGTTATCTAAATATCTATCTCCTTTCTCTGCTTACTGCCCTAATAATGAAATTAGTTTCTTTAGTGAAATTAGTTTCTCTAGTTTAGCAAATATTGGGAGCTTTTTTTTCTTAAAAGCTCCAAGAGTTGGACAAAAATATATTTTAAAACATTTCAAATAAACCAGGCTTTTAAATTTAGATGAAATTTATTTTCCTTGTTTCCAAACCATAAACAATGTGAGAACCTTGGGTTGCCCGGAAAAGTTTGTAATTATTAAACGTACATTTTCCATTATCTTAGTGGTTTCCCTTGGTCTTCAAGTTCCTGACATGTACTTCTTCAAGTTCCTGGTTGTGATGTGTTGACCCCAGCTGGCAGCTAAGCACCACACAGCCACTCAGTTCCTCTCCCCCAGCAGGACGGGGAAAGAGACTAGGAAGAGCAAAAGTGAGAAAACTCATAGGTCAAGATAAAGGCAGTTCAATAAATGAAGGAAAGAGGAAGAAAAACCAAGACAAGTGATGGAAAGGCAATCACTTACCACCTCCCAAATGTAGACTGATGCCCAGCCAGTGTCTGAGCAATGACTGCCTCAGTCCAAGGGTTAGATTAATGAGAAGTGGAGGGAGAGGCTTACGTGCAAGTGCTATCCAAAGAAGCAGAATAAAGTGATGCCTGTCTCTGTGTATCTCTGGTGATGCTTCTCTGTACTGCTGACACTACAAGGAAAAGAGAATGTCTTGTCCAAGGGTTTCAGACTCAGGATGGTCTTGAACAAATAGCTGATTCATTGGTGCTTGTGGTGAAGTCACTGTATTGCTCAACTGGTTCTTTCCCATATTTGCTAGGCAGATTTTAGTCTTGGCCATTTCACTTCACCTGTCCTATTCCAGTTTCCCACCACCAAAAAGTGGCATTCGTGGTACTGTTTCACTATCTCACAGATGATGTGACCATAGAAACAGAATGCTAATGAAGATCACATAATAACATAATTTACCCGTTCTGTATGGGCATCAGCGCTGTCATAGGAGTCGCTGGGTTGCTCATGAGCCGACAGTATGGCACAAAACATCCCTTCCTTTTTATCCCTTCAGCATCTTCGCTTGATGTGACTCAGGTGGTTATGTAGTAATGGAAAGTCTAAATATAGGTGATGAAATTATTAATAGTTTGCTTCCTGCCTTATGTTTTCAGCTATGAAGCAAGCCAGCAAGTGTGCAGTTTGTGAAGCTTGTGAGAGGCTTAGCAAATTATGGGAATAATGAGAAATTAAGAATACCATCAGAGAAACTGTTATAAAATAGTAACCAGGGAAGATACAATTAAATATTTACACAAACTAAAAATTTAGTCACTGTAAAATCTTCTCGGCAATGTGCATCTCTGCATGTGAATGAAGTTTTTATAAGCTGACAGAATTCTGCAGGGCTGGGCCTTCTGGCACTTCTGAAAATTTGACTTTATCTCAGCATATGATTTTTTTTTTTCATTAAATTTTTTGTAAACTAATTATAAACAACAGATAGCCTTTGGGGAATGTATTTTGAAGAGATGAGAATGCTGCAATGGTACTGAATAGAAGTGGGTTTGGTTTTGTTTACAAGATTTTTATACTTCACTTTAAATTTCCTGGAAGACTGAAATACAGTTGCAAAAAAAAAAAATTACTATGACAATTAACTCTTTAAGTAATCCCTCAGTAAATACTATTTTTTGAGAGGAAAAACAATCTTTTATTGGATTACTTAGGAGCCATGTCTCTTTCTGCATGTGCAGACTCGGACCAAATTGTTACTAAACATCTCAGACCTTTCTAGCACAGAGAATGTATACCTTGATACATCCGATAGAATATCGCTGAAGCAGAAACCCAAATATCAGCACTCTTAGGGACAAGTGAGCCTGAAAGTTTTGAAAGGCAAAATTAAGCAAAAAATTAATGACCAGTGAAGGGACTGCTGAGAACATAAAAGCTTGCTCTTATTTTAAGCTGGAAATTCTATCAAATGTTGCAATAGTGCATAACGTCATACAGCTATGTTGTCTCAGTGAATTCATTAACAAGGAGCTGCTGTTTTCTGTATTGATCTCTTGAAGCTGATAGGTTTTTCTAAGGCTGATTTTTTACTTTTTATTTAGCATATATGTGTAACTTCCTGCTCTATGGCATGCATCGAATTATAGCAACAGCCCTTACGTCATGGCCTCCTTAATTCAAAAAACCCCACCTTATATAAACAAAACAAATTTCTTATGAAAACTTTTTGTTAAAAAAATTAAATTTCTATAATTAGATGGGAAGACTTTTCTTTCTGGAATGTAAGGAGGAAGTACAACTACCGATGGTGAAATGTCATTACTTTTCCGAATAACTGTAGTTTTTAAAAAAGGTTTTAACAAACATGTGATGATGCTGCAGTGTGCTTTCTTTATGTATTTTATCAATTTTTTTAACAAAAAATTTCAAGTTCCCAAAAGGTGAAATCTGTGTGTGTTGTGCAGTGGAAGATAAACCTGTCAAAATCTAAGTACAGTGCTTTGCAAAATCTGTTTTATTAAGATATCCCTGAGTTTCTGCTACCTGCACAAGATGATAATTATCTGAAATCAGTTTTATGTTAAAGCTACTAAAGAAATACAATGATATTATGAATTAGGTGGTTGTTCATTTAAATTAAGGAAAGATATGACTTCTAGCAGCTACCTAGAGGCACTGCGCACTTGAAAAATGGATGCCAAAATAGCTGAGAAATAAAGCATTACGACATAATTAATGGTTATCTGCAAAATTGTTTTGTTTCTGCTCTAAAGTTGATAATGGTACTTGCGATGCATTTTTAATTTTTTCGTGCTGTTCTAACAGAAACCCAATGGTTATGCCATTCTGCAGTTGTTAGGCCACAAAGGGTTGAGCAGCAGCATTGATCAGAAATCACTTACTTCGGACTGGGGGAGGAGGTCCAGCACACAAGTGATGCAATGCTTAAATAAGGTGCAAGCATCCCAAGGAACTAATCGAGGGTGCGTGTTAGACTGCCTTAGCTGGAGCTAGTGATGTTGGTGTCACTGTAAGAACAATCATTGTATGGGTAGAGAGTTTTCCCTGATTTTTGACACATGCAGCCTCAGGGTGTTCAGCACCACAGCTTCCGCCTCCTTGAAGGGTGTCCTTCTCCTGTGGTAGAGGCTGAGTAAAGATTTGCCTCGTGCTTCCTGTTGCAGCTGGGCCACTGTGCAAAATTAAAGCAAGAGTCATGGGACTAGAAGAAAAATGAGCATGATTCTGTACACTGGGGGCTAAGGCTGTCCTCCTAAAGCTAAATGTGTGGGTGAAAGAGTGAGGAAGACAGTGGTACTTAACCATCTATTCACAGCCTTATTATTTGTATCATTGATCCTTATGTGTCCCTTCCAACTTGAGATATTCTATGAGTCTATGATTCTATGTCTGGTCTGTAGATGAAGCTTAAAGCAGAATGCATGCCAGGAATCTAAAAAGGCAATCATGAAATTATTGTTTTTCAAAGTTTATGGAGTTGTAGGCTGTTAGGCAAAAACATAATGCTATAGAAAGCTATTTTAAGAAGCTTTAAGCATAAGGAGTAAGGAAATTACCATAATCGCCGATGCTGCGATGGGGTGTCCGAACTCCATATGGCTACGAGCCAGGGGTAAGCCTTCCTAAGGGAAGTAGGAAGTGACTCAAGTTCACGAAAAAGTAAAAGGGTTGTCAGAGCTCTGAGCTCTGCGTGTGGTGAGGGTTTGTATAATTAGAAAGTACACATGATTTGCTTTATTACTGTCATGCATCAGCCTTTCACATTAGCTTGATTAGCTTGAATAAGTCAGCATGGTCTGCTCAGAACTAGGGACTCTTTTGTCTCTAATATGGCAGCATTTCTGACTAGTGCTCCATCCCATAAAGTTTTTATTTTCTAAAAATATCTTCATTCATAAAAGAAAATGCTAATGTTGGTGTTAACAATGGCAACACATCATGCTATTTATATAGATGAGATTGGCTGTGTACGCCAGCTTGAAGCATGAATTTTGATGCATGATTAATACCATGGCTGATATTATGAAAAGTTGCTAAATCAATGGGTAGGATCAGTAGAATTCTTTTTTTTGTTTTGTTTTCATCATTAATTATTCTTAATTAATGTATTATTATTAGTATAACTGTCAAATCAAGGCAAAAGGTAAAATACTGTAAAATTATTTGCTACAACTTCTATTGTAGAGAGAGAATCTTTTATGCTTAGAAAAAATTGTGTGCAAAAATCCCATCCAGTTTCATTTCTTTTTTTTTTTTTTTTTTTTTTTTTTTTTTTTTGTTTCTCTACCTACCCACTGCAGTCTAGGAATGGATGTGGAGATAGCATTACAGCTCTAGGGATACTTCATACTTCAGCATTTCTCCATCAAAATGATAGGATCCTTTTGGGATCACCCTAAGAAACATACAACAGTAATCTGATATTTTAAAAGTTTTACTGGATAGAAAGAAAATGGAACTGGGAGGAAAAATAACGGCATAATATAGCGTTGTGTCCCTTTCATGCTTCATCAGAAACAACACCGTCAAGGCTAGTTATACAGGGGCAAAGGACAAAGAAAACAAATGACTGGCATTTCTTGAAAAAGATTGCTTATTTCTGGCCAGGGTAGTACTATCCAGAGAGCTCCTCAGCTTTTCTGCTTCTTCCTTCTCCATATGCTTCATGTATTTTACCCTCAAGTTTTGCCAAATATTTTCTCAAGACAAAAAGACAAACCAATTTCAGGTTGTCTTCCAGGCAGCAGTGCAGTGAGAAAGAGAAGACATTTTAATCACGATGGATATGTGCTTTTTGGGTTTTATCGAGTACTGTCATTCACCAAGAAACACTTGGGCAGTTCCATGTTTGTGTAAACTCTTTGGAAAAGCAGGATTCAAACTTTGATTTGCTCCTTAAATCCAGAGAGAACAAAGCCATGAAGGAAGTGAACACCCACACATGCGCTGATACAGTAGCCCTCCCTGCTCCATGTATGCAGGGAGATTTTGTAGTTAAGGATATATTCCTAGCTTTTTGTGATCGTTGTAAACTGCGTTGGAGTAACAGATCTCACTGACTGGAACCCAAAGCTGATGCAGCTACGCATGACTGGTTTCTGTGTCCTCCTGTAACTGGACTAGCTCTGCAAGGGAAGAGGATCTGGTAGCTGGGAGAGGAAAATCTGTAGTTTTGAGGATGTAAGGAGAATTGAACATAAAAGTTTTAACACCTGCTGTCGAGGGGCCACAATATGTGCTGGTTTTATTTGTGTGTGCCTGGGGATTTAGCTTGTAAATAATTGAATTGAAAAAGTATTTTTATTTATATGTACAAAAATATTTTATCCCTTTTATATTATATTTTAAATTTTATATTGATACCTTTATATGTGCAGACTGTATGTGTGCGCTTTTTAAAATAGAAATTTCTTCTTTATTTTCACAGCAAACCCAAGGAACCAATGTTCAGTGCAGGTAGGAACTTCGAAATTTTTTAAGTAGATAACAACTGTGATAACATAATAGAATTTTTTTTTTTTCTTTTTTCTCCCCCCACCCCGTGGTTGCCTAGGAACTGGTATTGGGAATCTAAACATGATACTTACAGGCTACTGATGACGTATTTTTAAAAAAGTTGATCAGTTTGCTCTAGTTTTTATTGGCCCAATAGGTTTATTTTACAGTTAGGATTCTTTGTAAGAAGACGAAGAAGAAAAAGGTTGTGTCGTCTTACCCCAGATATGTCTTCTCTTTCAAAGCACTATTAAGGCTTTGTTAATTAAAGCATATGCCAAGTTCCAGCTATGATGCTGTCATGTTAATTTAGTCATAAAAGGGAGCCCTCAACTACTGTTACAGAATGTCACATCTGTCCCAATGCCTTGTAATAAAATTTGTCAAATTACAAATAAAAAAGGTGTTTTGTTACTACAGTTTTAGAAGTCTATCTTTAATTTGAAAATCACTTTACTTTTTTCCTACTTATGTATTATCCCTGCAAAAAGATTTTTGAAAGTGAAATAGTAGGTATAAGTGAAAGCAGAATCTGTCCTTGTCATTAGAGAGTTGCAAACTTTTGAACAATCTCAATAAAAATACAAAGTGGAATAGTATACGTAACAGTTATTTTTGTTCTGATAAACCAAGGACAACTAAAATAAAAGCATTCTTTTAATGAAATAAGGAAGTGAAAAAACCTGTTGATTTATCAAATGTATCATATTCTTTTTGTGTATAGTTCTGTGATAGTAATCAGACATTAAACTGAAAAAGTAGAAAATCTTTTGTTTACTGAGCTGATTGATCAGCATCCAATAAAGCTCTTAAGCCATACGTAGGGTTTGGTGTAATTGATTTTGCACTCAATAATATATAAAACTAAGTAAGCGCTTAAGTATTTTGTGGCAATGCAATCGCAGTTCATGCCCCTTTCATGAAAACTGTTGTTTTAGAAAAAGAAAACTTCTGATTTGCACAGAATATACTTTTCTCGTGTAACATTTCTCCTTCCCTTGCACTGCATAAGCAAAGGTGTTTGGAATAATTTTTCTTCTGACACTTTCCCCGTAGGTAAAGATCAGTAACTAAACAGATGTGACACTACTTTTACCCTTCTCACCTGGACAAAATTCCTACTGAAATTAATGATTTTTTTCTAAGTCAGTTATACTTGGTATTTTACTTACTTTAAGCAGAGAGTTGCATAATGGAGCTTAAGCTAGGATGTTAATGATAGAAGAACTAAACAGAGCCCCTAGCTGGAGGAAAAGGGTTTCCACTGTAATTACCCAATGTATGGCATGGAGTGTGGCTCAGTGTTTTGTCAAGCAGCAGGTTAGCCTCCAGCAGAATACGACTGGACAGCCGGTAGAGCAGGTATTTAGTGAGTTTATTGTATTCAAACACATCTTTATCTAGCCCTTCTGTCTCTGTCTCTGTAATCACAAGGGAAGCGCCGTGTGACGCACTGCAAAGGTAGGCTTCACTTCCAAAACCTCATAGCTCTCGAAGCAAAATGGTACTGATGGGATAAAAGCCCAGTGTATAAACAGCTATTTTCTAACTTGCGTGCATTTTGCAATGTTAAGACTTTCCTAGTTCTTTTGAATGAAACGAAAATATTACACTATCTATTATACAGTCTACTGAATTATAACCCTGAGGTGCACTTTAATAATAATAATGGGTTATAATTTAGATTCCTGTGGAATTTTTCAGAAGAATTTGAATTAGAAAAAATATGTTGAGAGAGCTATATGGCAACACGTGGATGTTCACTGTGTTTGAAATGGTGTTCTGCACTTTTGCTGAAATTCATACAGAATTTGCCCCTTTGTTGGCTGTTTTGCTGTTAGCCTAACATGATTATAGAAGCCTTGGTTTTTCCCTTGCTTTTTCTTACTGAGTAGACTGTAGATTTTTCTGAATGTCGGATAAACAGACCTAGGCCTCCAACTAATTTCTCAGTGCTTTTTGCTCGGTGTCATAAAGCAGAGTTACGTTTGGTAAACATACCATATTGTTTTCTGACGCTTTAGCTAAACTGTAGTGTAAATATGCACATTTTTGATGCATGTTTATGTCTGTGATATAATCACAGATTTGCCTTGCTTTTTAGAGGTAGCTAAATCCTAACAGTTTTTCCACTAATCAGCGTCTTTCAGCTTTGCAACGAATCTAAAATTTCACAAAGCAAAGAATGTTTGTTCTCAAGGCAAAGTCGTTTAGAGTCTCTACCTCTGTGTATTCTTTGTACAATTTTATGCCTGCAATCAGTAGTGGTCTCCTTTGCAGATCCTACTGGCATTCACGTGCCTTCTTATTTCAGTTCAGTAACTTAATTTTTACAGTTACTTTCAACAGCAATTTCAAATGTACAAAATTGCAGATGTAAAAGATACATTTGTCTAAAAGTTTCACCATTGGTCTGTCTTTGTAGTTTGATGATTGTCTGTCTTTACATCTGTATCTTCACGTTTAGAACTCTGCTGTCTTAAAAACTTAGCTATAAAAAAATACGAGGAAAGGGATGTAAATTGGTTATGTAGATAACATGTTTGGATTACTAACAAAAATCAGTACAGATGGAATTAATATTACCAAAAGTTAGAAATAGATACACAGTATGGATTTCTGTGCCTGACCTAGTCATCCTCAGTTCCACTTTATAGTTGAGAGAGAGAGGGGCATTCTGAAGGAATAATTTATATGCTTGTTGTAATATATTTAGTATAATTTACTATACTTGCTTTTGGACATGTGCCTTAACATGTGATTAATTTGTCCAAAAGTACCTGTTTCTCCCCATTTACTCTAAAAAGGAGTTTTGAGTGACTAGGTCAAATACTTCCACTGTAGATGGCTAAATGCAAGTTTTATGAGGCCAGTAAGTTTCATTCATTGAACTGCTCTTCTCACCTGAAACTTTCATTCATTCCCAGCCTTTGATAAGCTCAGTCAGGGGTTGCCACTGCTGAAAATCTATTGACTTCCAGTGCACCAGTATCAGTAGTATTGGCATGTGCTTCAAGCTCATTAAATATATGCTGCATGTGCATACAAATAGTGCTGTAATGCTCTGCTATTTAATGCTCTACCCTCTATAGTTTATTTTCCAATACAGAGCTATTAGAGTAGATTTTTAAAAACAATTCCAGTATTCTAGCATTTTAATAGGCATCTTAAGCTCCAACCATCTGTCACCATTATTTCCCCATTATTATTGCTTCTTTTTAGCATTCTGTTTTCTGTTGGTTTTGTTATATGTATGAATTCTGTAAATGAAGGGATTTTAGAGCCCTAGCTGTAAATTTACTGTGACAGATCAGGTAGATCTCTTTCCCAAATGAATTAGTCTAAAGGCAAAATACACATATATTTAGGTAATACAGCATAGCTATGATGTTTATTTGTTCAACCGATAATTTTTATTCATTTAGTCAGGATTTGTAGCGTATGCGTATTTCCAATTAAAATAAAGCCTTAGTTTTCAAATTAAATAAATAATGGTATAGTTGTAATGATACTTAACAATTCATAGCATAATTTTAAAAGTCCTAAATTGTATAATTATTTTTCATTTACATGATTTTGTTACTTCTGCCCTTCCATTTCCTCTGTGCCCACGATTATTCTGTCTAGTAACTCTACAGATGTCACTGACTCCAAAACTGCTTGATTCGCATGAGAACAAGGCTGAACCCCTTGATCTGCCGATGGAGCAGCAAGAGCCAGCACGTTCTGAATCTGGACAAACTTCACCAGAAGTTCACAGGACACCCACTTTGGCCTTGCCAGTTCCCAAAAGTCCTAGTCAGACCTTCATGGCATTTGCCAGATCTCCTAGTTTTATAAGCCCCATGAAGTCCCCAAGTCAGTACTTCCAGATCTGTTATTAATTCCTGCTTCTCTCCCCCCAAAATATTTCTTACCAGTTCAACACATTACTTTTAGTATTTTCTTCTAGAAATGTTTACTTCTGTCAGCCAATTCAGTTTTTGTAGCTTCTCTCCTCTATGTCATTTTCCTTTCTTTTAATGTGTTGTCAATGTTGTCATTCCTTTTTCAATGTTTAGTAATTCTTAAAGCACATACCTTTTCTGCATGTACATCAGCATGATTCCTTTTACTAATTGTTTGTGTTCCTTATTTTGAATGTATCTCTAACACTGTATCAAGTGTAAAGCATATCTTTACACTGAGATGCAAAGAATGCGACTGAGTGTTGGAAAATACTTTAGATGCTGATGCTCCACTGTAAATATTGATTAAAAAATAAAATTAATTTTAAGTGGCATTTCTGCGTTAGTTGTAATCTTTGATGTTTCCCCTTCATTTTTAATATTTTAAAAAATGTAATATTGTAGCATTATTTTTCACAAAAAGAAGTTTTGATTTCAGTCCTTTCAGTTTTGTAGTTCTTCATGACATTGTTTAGTTCTAATTCTGCTGCTCAAAATATTTAGAGGAAAAAGGGGCTTTGTATGTTTTAAAAAAAATCTGCTTAGTGATTATGATTCAGGGAAAAAAAAAAAAAACCCTGCTTAATTTCCGAGTTTGAGATTGCATGTCATGCTGTAGTTGTAATGCACCAAACTGTTAAGTGGGAAGGGATGGAGGAGCACTAGAGTTCTCCACTGATGGTTTGGGTTTTTTTTGTTTTTTTTTTTTTTGTGTAACACTAAACATTTCTGACCTTTTGTAGAGGAAGGATACGTAAAAATGTTTCTTCGTGGACGTCCTGTTACCATGTACATGCCCAAAGACCAAGTGGAATCTTACAATTTGGAAGCAAAAGTAGAGCTACCAGCCAAGAGGCTTAAACTGGAATGGGTGTATCCTTTCTGTGCTAGAGGAATACTGGAAATCAATGATTTCTTAATGATTTGTTTTAAATAACTTTCAAGCTGAAGTATAGCAAAATTAAAATCTTTATTAATAGGGTTTGTTTCATTAGTGAAGCAACATTCCATTCAAATAGGTGTTAATTTCTTGAGGCTGCTGTTCTGCACCTTGTGAAGTATAGGGCGGCAGCTTAAGAAAGATTTTGCTTAAATGTTGCCTGAAGGTTAAGTCTGGAGCATGCTAATTCGCTGAAGATTAAACTAGGCATATTGTAAGAATGTAGTGAGGGGTGATTATTAATTATAGTATGCATAAAACAAGCTCAGGTTTTTTTGCTGATTCTCAGCAGTAATTTATTGTTTTAAACTGTGTTTTATAAAATGTGCACCATTGTCCTTTAGAGGATGCTATAATCAACTTCAGTACTTGAATAAGCTCTGAATTGAATAGCACTTTGCAACTGATAGGTGCTTAGCGATAAAAATTCATAAGATATCATACATAAAATAATGTTTTAATTTAGATTTTAAACTGTATTTAAGCATCGTAAATACCGAACAACCAGAATTTTCCACTGGCTTCTATGAGTGGACATAGTTACAGAATTCTAACTTGAAAGAAATCAGTGTTTCATTACATACTGAAATTTTTGCATTTCACTTTTAAACATGAGAAAATATATCCTTCATTGAAAAAAGAAATGACATTTCATTTTTGTAACATCTTAGTATATGTAGTAGATGATTCAAGATAAAAATATAAATACAACAAGATCTGAGTGTATTTGTAATATCCACTATCTTTAGAGAAATGAAGTCTCCATAAGGTTTTCTGTTTTAAGAAAAAGACTCTTTTTTTGGTCCCAAACAGTGTAAATAGGAAGTTGCTTTGTTTTCATAAAAAAAAGACAGGCTGCAAATAGTCTTTTTCGAAGTTGTATATATAGAACTGCATGTGGCTTCAGAATACGCACAGTTTCCAAAAGTCCCATTGTATTCAGCAGAGATTAATGACAGATTTAGTAACCATTCTTATTATTCCTATTGCAGCTGAGCCGGTGGGTTCTACCCCACTCTGCTGGAACTGCATAGATAATGCATACAGAAATAACTGCAGATGAATTAAAAAAATAAAAAATCCACAAAATTAATAAAATGGCTGAGATTAGAGTGATAAATACTGCTTGCAGCATTTTACCATGTAATTGTTGTACAGGCTCTCGCCATATATCACAACAGAATTGAAAGATATCTTTTTACACTTGTAAGATGCCCCTTGCTTAAGGATGATATGGGAGAAAGTGTTAGAATGCTTGCTGAAACAACAAAAAAACCCAACCACAAAACAAACCAGATTGTCGTTAGCAGTATGTAGATGGAAGCTGAAGTTAATATTTCAGACTATTATATGAAATTATAATTAGAGTAGGTCATGATTTCAGTCTCATTAGTTTCTCACTTAAGCTTACTTAAATGGCTGAATATTTGCCAGATGGAGTATTATTTTTAGTTTGAATATTCATATGTCCTTCCAGGTGTGTGTCTGTATACCCACCAGCATCCTATATATAAAGGTTGTCTATGAGTGCAAAAGGTATAAATTAATAAAATGATCTAACTGACCTTAAGTAGTTACTGAGGAGGATGCATATTTTTCAAGAAAAACTGTGCTAACTTTTTCAGATTTTTATTTCTTTGCAGTTAAGCCCAATATTGATATCCATACTTAAAAGTAACACCAATGACTAGGTATATAAAATACTTCTTTAAAAAAAAAAAGAGAGAGAGAGAGAGAAGATAATGCCCAAATTACGAACTATAATGATGAGAAGAAAAGCTGGGGGCAGGAGCGTAAAATAATTTACGGAGAAAGACAAAGACAGCAGAAAAACAACTGATATTGCAGGCATTCATTCCAGTTAAGCTGGAGAAGCTGAGCTGTTTGCTTGGAGGGTAACAGAACTGGAGTAGGAGAAAATACCTTTGTAGTGGACAAATCAGCCTGGCTGTGGGATTACAGCCAGAAATGCTTTACAATGTAAGAATGGGGATAGAGAGACAAGATACTGGAGTTGAGATGGACAAGTGGAAAGGGCAGAGCAGACTATGATGAGACACAGAAGGAAGAAAAATCTAATGATGTGTGTAGATTTCAGGGCATACCTGGACCCTAAAGGGGTTTTACAATCATGTTAGCAGGTATCTGGGTAAGCTGAAAAAGGTTCAGACCATATCGGATATATTCAGACATGAAGAAACAGAAATGCTGAGTGATGAAGTGTGAGGGAGGGCTGGAGCAAAGGTGGTAAAATCCGAGCGAGAAATCAGCACTGGGGACATCAGGGCGGGAGTGGTGGTCTGCATGGATCCATTTGAGACCAGCTCACTTGGCAAGCAGGAGGTTTGAAACAAAAACTGCAGGCCAAATGAAAAGAAAAGGTCAAGATACCGTTCCCTGAAGTGCCATCTTACCAAGTCCAAGTTGAAGCCACCGAATCCGAGTATGGGAAACAGTGAGGAGAAGGAGAGATCAACCCCAGGAGTTTACATGTGAGAAAAAAGGCTGATAGAAAGAAACTGAGTGTTTGACAACAGCGATCATGTGAAGGGTTGAATGCAGCATTGTTCCCCACAGGAAGAATCATAAATAAAGGAGATTTTCCCTAAAGAATGTAATCCTTCCCATTTAATAGCTATTTTTATGTACAGATGTTTGTTCCGTAAGAATGTCTCTATAATGTTGGTAATGGTGTCTGGCCTTATAGAAAAAAATAAAACATTGTCCTGCAAGCTAGAGTAGTAACTCTAACCTTTACAGACACATTCAAAATCGATAATAAATGCTTTGTAATTTGAAGATATCGGTTGTTTACATGTCTTCAAATTTGAATATCTCAAACTGGAAGGAACCGTGGCTGCAATATTCCAGTTTGAGAGTCCAAAAGCTGTATTTTTGAATGCACATTTTGATGGTTGGGTATGCAGCACTACTTCTATTGCATTTATTAGAAAAAAAATGAGCAAGCTGTTATTTAAATTCCTGGTTTAGAAGTAAGATAACTATCATACTTACTTCTTGGATAATGGTAACATGAGTATTTTAGTTTGACTGGGTTTGACCCTAGAAAATAGTGCACAAGTATCTTTTAAATATCATATAATTGGGGTTTACAGTACCTCTTCATGTATTTATTACAGCCAGTTTCTCCATATTGCCTGAATTAGTATGCACTTCTGTTTTGCCAAGATTCTGGTAATGCTGTTTCTCTCTGTTCCCATAAAAAAGGAAAGCCAAAATAGTTGTAGTCCCTAATGACTCTTCAGAAGAATAAAACTACATAATTTGGCTGAATTAACATTTGGTCTAAATGAGATTATTTCTGGGTTCATTCCAGTTATTTCGTTGGATTAATTTTAGATTAGTGTTGATATGACTAGCATCAGAATCTGGGCCACTGCCTTTTAAATACTACAAAAATAAATTGGAACGGATGATGTAACCCTTTTACGGTTTCATATCCATCTGGCTGGTAATGCCCAGAATAATGAAATCAATCAGCCTGCACACAGGATAATGCAATCAGTCCTAATGTAATGCAGGGAGACGTCCTGAATGACTTATTAGTGTTTCCATCAAGTCTAATTTTTTATTTTAATTAGTCAACCAGTGTAAATAGTAAATACACTTGGGACAAAATTAATATTGCCTTAGTCTGGCATTTAGCAAATTCCAGAGGATACTAAAGGGATAGTATGTCTACAAATTCCTGTATTCTTTACCATGTATTTTCTGTAGAATGCGTAGGTTTTCAGTACCTCAAAGTCTGTGAAATGCTTTAGCTCTCTCTACTGTAGTAAGGGAAGGCTGGAGTTCTGAAGGCTGTCAAGTGATAAAGTCGTGCTCAAGCCAAGAGATGCCAACTTCAGGAAACACAGGGACAGAAAATCCATTTTGTTTTTCTTTATTTTTAACATTCTTCATTGGTAGATAATGTTATTGCAGCTTGACCAACATGCTAGCTATGGATATAGGGGTCGGGACTGTCGCAGTAATCTGTATCTTCTTCCAACGGGCGAAACCGTATATTTCATCGCATCTGTAGTTGTGTTATTCAATGTTGAAGAGCAACTTCAGAGACATTACACTGGTCATAATGATGATGTGAAGTGGTAAGTCAGCTAATAACCCTTTTTTTTTTCTTCAGAAAACAGTACTTGGGAGGTAATGTTTTGTTCTTTTAATATAGTTTTGAGAATTCAAGTGATTTAACCTCTAAGTCTTGCATGGGTTGGGTCCTTATGCCTGACAGTGCCTTTGCACAAATAAAGGTCTGACTGTAGTTGTGGTAAGAAGGTCAGATGTCTGTTACAGCTCTGTCTAGTCAGCACACGAAGCAGCTGCTGTCAGGGCGTGATGGCACAGACCTGAGAATATCCAAATATGTCCCCAGCAGAGCCTGAGTTTGCTTGGGAAACCTGCTTTGAAGTCTGCTGCTGTATGTGCTGTGCTGCCTGGTTTGGGTGTGTCTATATGCAATTGCTGTACTGATGTGCTCCAAGTTACTGCTTGTTTCTCCGTCTAAGTTGGTAACAATTCCGCTTTGTATTTACTTGAGAAAATTTATTTTCCATAACTAATATACTTTTTACATTGAGAATACAGAAAAGTAGAAATCTACCTTAATCTATGGATCTACTCATTTTCATTACTTCATTTTTAGGATGATTTAACACTAATTTCTTCTTTAGACTCTTCTCCTTCCCCTTTTTAAGTAGGATTGAATTATTCATCTTCACCTGGGTCTGGGTCCCAGATACAGGTCCTTTAGGCTCAATCTAACCAACAAAATAGTTCTAATCTCGTCTGTGGCCTTCCTGGTAGTCTTCAGTGATGTCTACATCATGGCAGATATCCTGTAAACTAGTCCTGAGCAGCCTGGTTTGGCTGCTGCCATGCAGGCATGCCAGCGTGGGCTTCAAAGCGATTTAGCTGTGTTCAAGCTTAGCGGATACTAGGTATCAGGAAATAACAGTATCGTTAAATTGAAATCTAAATAAACATATGGTTTATCTTGACGGTATCTGTCTGCTTGCTGAGTGTAGCTGAAAAAGAGCAGCCGGATTATCTGATGGGCCCTAATGTGTGAAATGAGGTTGACGTCCCTTCTTTAGATTAAGCATTATGAAACACCTGTTGTCCCTGATAGCCAAAGCTGGTTGCATTGTCAGCATGTTTCATAAAATTGAATTATTTGTATAAGCTAGTTGTTTTACAAGGAGATTTTTAACTTGGACCTGTTCCATCTCATTTCTTTCTTTCAAATTTTCTGACTCTCTAGATATTTCAAAGCTTTCAGGTTTATTGGAAAGAGGATACCTTTCTGCATTATAAAGCTGAATGAATTATTGCCACAGTTTATTTTGCAGAGCACTTGGCCTCTAGAACTGTATGCAAAGCAGATGCAGTGAAAAAAGAATTGAGAGGATTTAGGGCAAAAAAAGACTGTACTTCAGGCTTTAATATAAATTTTAGGTTGTTTTTTCTCAGAGACACTAGTTAACATTGATCACAGTTTTTAAAATCTCAGTTTTAATTTTAGAATCAAAATTCCTAATTTCTGTATCCTGTTCTTACTCACTAAAGGACTTTTTTTACCTTTTGAGAGGTATTAGAGAGAAGTTGGTATCTCCCTATAAAAGTCACTGAATATCTGGTCAATACAGTCTGAAGAGCAATGTTTGAGTGGATACACCTCTTTGCTCTGGAGGATTGTCACTAGACAGCACTGACTGTACTAACCAGATCTCTGCAACCTCTGATTAGAGATAACTGAAGCTAGATAACTAGCTCTAATTGTAAACTCCTTATGCACTGCAATCATTTAAATCTAGGTGAGATGAATCCCAACATGAGTGAGACTGGGGCTTGTTTGATACATGCTTTTAAGTATTACAATTTAAGCAAATTACTGCCTTGTTCATAAGGAAAGAGGAGTTTTTTAAATGAAAGAGCATGAAAATTGTTTTGTCAGTTTTGTTTTTATATTTTTAAAATGTTTACATCTATGCTATGTGCCTTATATGACTAAAATAGGGCTATTTATTACAAGGTCATGTAAAAGTTTGATGAAATAGATAATAAATGGCTTTACGTTTGACCTCTCTTTCTTTTCTTTTTTAGCCTGGCTGTCCATCCTGATAGGATCACTATAGCAACAGGTCAAGTTGCAGGGACATCCAAGGATGGAAAAGTGGGTGACTCCTTTGCTGACATATAGTTGCTTATATTTCATAAGACTATGTTATTAAGAGGATACATGCTATATTCGTTTCATGTTGCAGTTAAATTGGTCTTACATTTTAGGACCGAATGCAAGCAAAACTTAATTTGAAAGTGCCTATTGCACACTATCAAAGTTACCCAGTTCCATTATCCAAATCGGTCAGTGGTTTCTGGTTCTATTACTTACACAGACTGAGGGTAAATTTGGAGCTGGTCTCCAAAAGAGACATGGAAGGATGAGGCTACAAAGGAGACCTGAGAGGGCAGATGGATGTGGGGAAAATGAGGAGAAGCAGCGGAGATTAAATTGTACACCATACAGTTTCATTTCTGACCACAGCTACCAAAACCAAAGTACAAATAAGAATGGCTTTGGGTTGTTTGCTGAAAAAAATAAATTCTCACTCTTAGAATCATAGAATCATTCAGGTTGGAAAAGATCTCTGAGATCATCGAGTCCAACCATTGCCATCATCTAGGCAAGAATATTTTTCTCTCTATTATTACCTGTATTATTGTAAAGCTTAGCTGCAGGCTAGGAATTTATTTGAACAGAGTAAGATGAACATTGCTGCAAAGAGCTAAGACAAATGAGAAAGAATGGGTACAAGCAGAGGCAGGAGAAGCCTGAGGAAAAAGTTACTCAGCAGAGTATGCAGCTGATGTCACAGCCAGACTATTGCAAAATTTTTGATAGATGTCAAAGAAGAATTTTAGGCTACAAATGGATTATCAATATGCTAACTACTTTAAGTAAATGAGGAAAACAAAATCCCAGTTATGCAATATAAGGTTTATGTAAAGATAACTTAGTTGAGTAACATAAACTTTTCATTTTTATTGTGTGTTGAAAAACCTCTGGTATTTATTTTTTTAACTTCATAAATACAGCACCTTACCATTGTATTTGTGAAATAAAATCAAAAGGTTTGATGTCTATGCTTGAGGGGAATGTGGTATATAAGTAAGCTTATATAAAAGCCATTTACGTGACTGAGATACTGCGGTGGCCTTGATTTATTTATTTTTAAGGGCAATTTCACTACTTATTAGCAAGAAAGACTGGGAAAAAAAGGAAGTAAAACATGGCCTTTGTTGTTTTCCTGCAAAAGTTGAAGATACTCTGTTAAACTCCTAACTACTTTTAAAATAAAACTTGATCAGCAAGTACTTCCTGGGGTTGCCCTCTAGTGGATTTGAGAAGCGTTTCTGTCTCCACGAGGTTCAGCCTGCGTGGGGCTCTCTGTGTGCTGCAGAAGTCGGAGAGAGGGGAGGGAGGGGGAACCACCTGGTTTTCATAGGGAATTCATCTTGGGCCATTATGTGTGCCTTGAATTTTACGTACAAAGAGAAAGTTAGTTCTGATTACAGTTGTATGATTCTTTTCTACGGCCATTTTTATGACACTGAAATTAATTACATTTTAGAAATTCTTAATCTTTTTTTTGCACCTGCTGTTTGATGTTGACCAGAATTATCTCAGTTGCTACAGTTTAAACTGATGATCTTGGATCTACCAGTAGGTCCCGTGTTGCAAGGTCATCACCAGTTTTCACTTACTGAAGGATCTCTCAGTGCTCGTTATCTTCAGTGAACTAAAAAGATCAGTGATGTGCTGTCCACTCTGGATGGTCAGTCCCAGATACTGGTTCTAGGCGCAGTAATCAGCAATCATTTGTAGCATATCTGTGCTTACGTGGGTGACTCTAGAGAAGTTCTGATAATTTTCATACCTTAAATTGCGTTAAAGTGTTTTTTGGATGCATTCTCATTTTTTTAAATCCTGATGGATTTTTGCCACCGTTGTTTGTGTGTCTATTTTATAGCAATTGCCACCACACGTGCGTGTCTGGGATTCTGTAACTCTGAATACACTACATGTCATCGGAATGGGGTTTTTTGACCGAGCTGTCACTTGCATTGCTTTTTCTAAATCTGTAAGTAAAGTAAATAAATAGTCGTATTAAGAATGTTTGCTGAACAAGTCTTTGAAGTCTTTCAAACTTAGCTTCCTTGACCAAAACAAACTTCCAAGCTGCCTTTTCTCTCAGCTTCCCCTTTAGAGGAGGAAAGCTTGCAACCCACTTGTTTCCAACAGTGTATGTTAGCAATATCTCAGCAGTCTCAGAGATCTACCTTATGCGTACCATCAAATGCAATTAATTTCTTCAAGGACAAGTAGTTGCAGAAATACTTGTGTTCTTGAAATTTCAGTAGTCTTCTTCTTGTCTTTAACCATCCCATTGCGTTTCTCCCTACATAAGAAAGTTATTCTCTCCGCATCTAACTCTCTACACTGTGCCTAAGAGTGACTGATGAAAGACCTTTTCAATGGCCTATACCACTGATTTTTGGATTTAAAAAATGGGAGCTCCCATAGGAGAAGCAAAATCTTTTGCTTGAAAGTAGCAAAGACATATGCATAAAGGATTGTAAAGAATTAAAATCCTGTTGTTAGCCTCTTGGCACCATCCTTTGAACTCTAGTCTCTCAGGGAGGTAAAAAAAGATGACACAGGCAGCATTCAAGTCCCATATAAAAACATGAATCTGTAACCTGACACGCACAAGTCTAGAAACCCTCCGTGTAGAACAGAATCCGTAAGCATTTTTAGAAAGGAGAGGACTACCTGGTGTATTCCACAGGTGAAATGTACTTCAGTGAAAGTTTCCACAAACACTTGAAATCTGTTGATGACAGTATTTTATAGAAAGTAGAAAAGAGAGGAGGGAATTGGGAGAGCTGGTTAAGAATACAAAGGTGAAAGCTAACATTTCAGTCAGCTTTGAAGGATAAATAAAATGGAATAGCAAGCAAATACCCTGTAAATATCTCCTTGGAGGAAGAAATAGGTACTTAATAACCAAGGATTGCTATTGGCAGATGCCAGGAGAAAGCAAGTGTTTAATATGTTTGCTTTATGCTGTGATTTCACAGTCATAGCTTGGCCTGTTTTGAGCATCACTTCCCATCCTGTAGCAGTACTGCTTATCTCATTTTAGCCATCCTTCTCTTCAGGCTACGCAGTCCTGTCTCTGTCCCACCTCTGGAGTTGCCTTGGCACAGTTATTTCTGTAGCTGTGTCTGAGATGTGTATTAGGGGCCTGATTCATCAGGAAAACAACCGAGCAACCTCATATATAAACAAAATGAAGCAGAGCTTGCTTGGGTCTTCTTTCCCCCACCAGATTTGATCTGTTCCCCAAACAGGTTCACTGTGATAGCCCAAACTTTTGCAGTGGCTCAGCTCAAAAGGCAGCAACCAGGCGTCTGTGCTATGGGTGGCAGAGGAAGGACTGTTTGTGTCATCGTGGCTGCCAAAGGATTGCTTGTGTAACCACAGGCTCAGTCTGTTCCGGCAAGCTCATCTGCAGTCAAAGCTAACATAGTTGATGCCAGGAGCAACAGGATACAAAAATCGTATTTGAATGGGTTGGAAAGCAATTAGACATTACGTGATGGTTTATTCCACTGTAGACACACAGCTAGGAATGAACACCAAAGATTGGAATAAATGGTCCAAAACCTACCTTCCAGATAGCTACTGTTTGGAAAAAGATCTGATGATTGTACAGCAGTGACCATCAGTAGTGAGACAGATGTCGGTCAGCTCCCCTCAGCTCAGGCAGAGTCTCAGCTGGAGTTCCTCATCCAGCCTTTGGATTCACGCATCAGAAAAATGGATACCAACTGGAGAAGGTCTGGGAAATATGATGCATGAAGAAAGACTAAAGGAATTAGGGTCATTAAGATTAGAAAGACTGATACAAGACATAACTATAGAAAGGATACCTGTCAGGAATAAGTTGTTTTCTAATTTCTTACTATGTTCCCTGATTTTCATCTGTTGTTCCTATATGAAGAATAAAATTGTTCCCTGTGTCCATAGCAGATCTGAGAAGAAGTAACTGGTTTAAATTGCAGTGAAAGAAACAGTATAATTATCAGGAAAAGGTTTCTTAATAGTATGGATAATGATGTGTAGTTTGCCTTGGGAATTTCCATCACTGAATATTTAAACAGAGATACCTACCTCATTCGTGACAAAGTCTGTTTGTCTACAGTTTGCAAGAGTTCCTCTTCTAGATCCCTTTTTAGCCCTATTTTTCAATGATCCTATGAATTGCTATATTTCATGGAGATCTATGGGATAACAAAAAATAACAGTTAAAGTGTAAATATTTCACTTTCATCTACACAGAAGTATTTAATTATTTTGAATGTGTATTTATGTGTTTCTAATGTTGGTTGGGGGATGCATTAATATTTTCCGTGTTTTCCCTCAGAATGGAGGAAGTAGCCTGTGCTCCGTGGATGACTCAAACGACCATGTGCTTTCTGTGTGGGACTGGCAGAAAGAAGAAAAGCTGGCAGATGTCAAGGTGTTGCAATAAGATATTTTGTACTACTTGCTTGTATGTAGATTTGGATTTCTTGTCATAAAGTGTCTTTTTCTATGTTGAACTTCTTGTGCTTTTTTAACACTTTCCCTTTATAAAAGGCAAAGAACACAAAGAAAGGGAATATTCTCTCTTACTGTTGAGATTATCCCAATAGTTGTGGTTTTGGTTTTTTTTTTCAATTTTGCTGTTGTAGTCATTCTAGAATTGATTAGAAAAGTCTAGGCAGCAATGATAGGAGCATATGCAGAAAAGAAACGTCTTAAACTAATCTTTTGTGTAGAATTTCTCATTATCTGAAATAGTTTTGAAGGATAACTTTTGACACTAACTTACAAAAACATAAAATCTTTTGGCTTCAAAGTATTCTACCGAAGTATTCCAGTCTATACTAATAAATTAATAGCTCAGAAGTTTTCTTAAATCAGAAGTTGATCAGTTAATCTAACTAGAGAACCATTTCATATTGTTTTGTTTTCTTTGAATTTTAAATTTTGATACAATGTTTTTCTTTTTCCTTCCAAGTGCTCTAATGAGGCTGTATTTGCTGCAGATTTTCACCCTACTGATACAAATATAATAGTTACTTGTGGAAAATCACACCTTTATTTTTGGACACTAGAAGGGAATTCCCTTATTAAAAAGCAAGGATTATTTGAGGTAAAATAAAATTTTTCCGTAATTTTATGTTTATAATAATGGTACTGTCATACAGAAGTAAGGGTTAATAAGGGTTGAGTAAATCAAAACAATTGATCATTATTAAACTTGAAATTTTACAGAAATTCAGGTAGCATTCATGGTATGGCAGTGAGAGCTTTTTCCATGGGTTGTCACCACGATGAAGTTTTGAGATGCAATTACCATTCTGTTCCTTGCATTCCTTTTCCTATATTGTTTATACTGTGTCCCTCCCATCAAAATAAAATTACCTTAAAGCTCTCTATGCTTACCTCAGGCTAAACAAATAGAGTGTATGTTATATGATGGGGTTTTTCTATTTTGTCAGAGGAAAGACTTAGAAAACACCATAAATTACGTGAATATGAATATTCTTCCCCTTTCCCGTGTTCTGCTCAGATACATACACATACGTAATTCAAATACAGCTTGAACTGGCCACTGTTTGGTAAATATCATTTTCATTTCAAGGTCGTGATTTAGTTTTGTTCTTAAATATAGACTAAGCTCTACAGCAGTTGTACGCACAAATGAGGGACGTTTGCAGTGACTGCAGATAACTCCACCAGGGCCTAGCTAACTGCTTGTGCAGTCGTGGCTCACAAGTATAGTCAAAACAACTATTTTGCAATGTCAGTTTATATACTTTGTGTGAAATAAGGAGAAGATGCTGAGATAATGCATTTAAATTTTGTGGGTTTTTTTTTTTCATTCATTTTTAACTTCTAAGCTACTTGGGCAGATTTCTGCCTCTGTTATTCTCTGTGGTTGTTGCAGATGGAAAAGTGTGGTGGCCCTAGCTGAGAACATTCTTAGTTTGAGGGAGAAAGTGGCCATACACGCTGGTAGTCAACAAACATTGTAAATAATGTTCTTGGAAGCTACTAGCTAGTGAATTTTTTTGTCCCCTTATCACTGTTTTGTTGCTGTCAGTATTTTAAATGCAGGGTCTCAAAGCAATGTTTCCATTACTGAACCTTAGGATTCTTAATTCTTACACTACAGCGAAACTCTCCAGTAATACTTTTCCCCTAGGACTTTGGAGTTAAAAATTGCAGTAATAAAGCTTGTTTGCATCTTCAGCCGTTTCTAAATACTTAAAGCCTTTGTGATTATGTGTGAGTTGGGGAATTTGGTTTATCTCAGAGCATTCCTGGTCTGGTGTTAAAAGCTGGCAGGCCTTCTCACTCACTCTATCCACAACGTGTAATTAAAGGGGGCAGGACTGGGCCACCAACCTCAGCTGATGGGTCTTTTGCCCTTGCACAGATTAACTGTTTAGACTGTAGGAATGTGTTTAACTCCTGTGTAGGTATTTACTTAATAAGAGCTGTATAAGACTAAACTAAATTACTCAGATGTGTACAATTAAAATGAATGGGTTATGTGTTGCTGTGAGTATATATATTTTTGTAACTGTGCAGAAACAAGAGAAGCCAAAGTTTGTCCTGTGTGTGACCTTTTCTGAAAATGGTGATACTATTACAGGAGACTCAAGTGGAAACATTTTGGTTTGGGGCAAAGGTAAGACAAGCTTGAAGTTAATAGTGGAATTTTAATATAAAATACTCTAAATTTTTACGTGAGTGTAGCCTCATTTTAAGAAGACTAAATTTTGTTTATCTTAAGTTCTTTGTCAAGACCAATCCAGCAGATTGTCTGGATTCTCCTCTACGAGCACCTAAAGAACATATACTTGACTGCTAGAGCACAAAATTCTATAGAATGTGTTCCCTATGGTCAAATGTTGAGTCGAGCTATGCCACCACGTATGGCTTTTACTGATGTAAGGAATGGCAGGAAAAGTTCTTATCCTTAATCATTGTGATAGTAAGAAACACTGTTAATAGAATGGATGATCTCCAGTCTCCTATACTGTCACTCTGCAGTGTTTGCAAAAATTATGCCTATTGACATACACTTTTAAAAGGACAACAAATAGCTTTATTTGTTTTCCTAGAAAGTCAAGCTAAAATACATGCAGATCTAATCGAATTCCTCAGCTTTATTTCAAAAGAAGAGGTGGATAGGACAAACTTCTTAAAAAGCATTTTCTAGAAAGAAGAGACTTTTTTGCTTTAATGCAGCAGAAGGCAATGCCTGCTGGAGGGCGAACAGCAGCAACATCCTAAACGTTTACTTAGTGCATGAGATGCCATGCATAGAAATAAGGAGAATCCCCTAAAGGAGGCCTTATTAGTAAAGGAAGAAGGGATATGGATGACAGCTGCTTCTTATTTACTCAGTGCCTTCTCCCAAGATACTTGAAGGATATAAGACCCGGGAAGCAACATGGTCAATCAGTTACACAGTTGAGCCTTACCGAGTTGTTTTTGTAGACTTTTTTTCGTCCAAGGACCACCAGCCAATTATCTCCTTGTGCTTTTGACCAGTACACAACTGTTGAGTAAAGGGGTGGATATGGTGTTTGTAACCCAGCTCCTCTTTTATTTCCCTTTTCTTTTTCCTATGATAGTTTAAAGCAAGACAGTTCAACGCTTTTCCTTCCAAACGGAGTTTAGAAATTGCATAGTCCCATCTCCTCCCTGTTCTTGGTTAGTTTGGACTACCAACAGAGAAGGGCGATAGTGGCAGCTGCTGACACGGCAGGGTCAGCGCAGTGCTCAGGGGCTGCTTTGCCTTCGTGCAGGTAGACCAATTTCTGCCTTGACTGCAAGCAGCCTCTTCTGCCCTTTCTCCCAGGAATGAAAGTGAATTCTTTGTGGGCTGCAAGATCTCCTCACGTCTGCTGGTTCTTCTGGGACGGACAAAAATGTTGTTCTTGTTTTTCTATCTCAGTACAGTGTACTTTCTGTGTCTTTACTACTTTTGACTCAGAGCTCTGTGTTCAAGCAAGGGCTGCTTCCACCAGTTTGGAGTACCCTTAGCAAAATCTGTCTTAATAGACATCACTTGTAACTGACACATTATATCCATAGATGTGGGTAGAGGCAAATGGGATGTATAAAGGAAAAAGCAGTTGTTTCTTCCTAACTTGCATTAGCCCCTCGCTTGTGCTAAAGATAGTTAGCCAAGCTTTGATGCAAGGTGCACATTTCAATAATAGAATCACTAGTAATTGTTTCTTTATATTTCATAATAGTAATGGTTCATCAAATTAGAGATATTTAATCTAATGTAGTTGGCTTGAAGGTGTTTTGAGACTAAAAAGGTACTTGAAGAAGCCAAGTTCATCAATGAAGAGGTACAGACTCTTTTGGGGAGTAATTCAGCACTTTCTGCCAGATGAGCAAAGACCATTAGCTTACTCAGATTTTGGTGCAAGTTAGGTGTCTGGAGGCTGTGGAGTATCCTTGGAGGATAACAAGTGACTGGGTTATGGGGTTTTTGTTGATAAGGTGCGCAGTCAAACCTAGCTACTGCAGGTCAAATGTGATGTCAAACAGTTTAGCTTAAACCCCCGGGTAAGGTTTTAAATGAACCCATTTTACTTTGTGTTTGAACTAGACTAAGTGAATATGTATACTTTTCTTTTTTTAGATGGGGGAATATGTTCTTAAGATGTACTAATTCATTCTTTTTCTGGTGCAACGCTCCATTCCCATCATTGTTTAGATATAAACCTTGACAGGTGGTAGTAGAGAAACGGAGGAAAAAACAACTGGGGAAAAAGGAGCTAGTAAGCTTTCCGTCGTAATACCTTTTCTTCATCTATCCAGGTACCAATAGAATAAGCCACGCGGTTCAAGGGGCGCATGAAGGTGGAATATTTGCGCTGTGTATGCTGCGAGATGGCACACTAGTATCAGGAGGTGGAAAAGACCGAAAGCTGATATCTTGGAATGGAAATTACCAAAAACTTCACAAAACTGAGGTGATATCACCTATCTTGAAATTACTCTGCTACTCAAAATGAAATCTTAGCTGTCTTCTGGACAGAGCTTTTTAAATAATTTTTTTTTCTTATGGATGTATATTCTGTGGGAAAGCAAATCAATAGTAAAATGCAGTATCATTTGAGTCATCAGGTTATTCCTGTGATAGCCTATTCATTAACATAATATTTCCTTTGTAAGATCTGCGGTAATTGGAGAACAAATCTGGTATTAATACTTTTTCATATTATTTCTTCCTTTCTTTGCAATTAATAATGTGAGGTCATTTTTCACTTCACAGTATGACAATATTAAAATGTTTTTGTACTTTCCTCTTTTCCAAAATGATGTGTGGATTTTTGGGGGGTTTCGGTACTTAAATTTTTTTTTTAGGAATTTCATGGTTAGTGCTGTTTTTTATTTAAAAAAGAAATTCTGAAAATGAATTCAGTTGCTATGTAGGAACTTAAAAGATTAAAGCAGAATTTGTTTGAACAGAACTACATCCCTGTTTATATATTGAATGTAAGAGAACAATCACCACGAAACTCTGAGGAAGGGTTTCAACTCTACTGTATATTATTAAACGTTTCAAATACATATGCAATTGGAATGGCGTGTCTGTTTTGGTAATTCAGTTTTTAACACAGCACAAGGTACGTGCTCATTGTGTGGCGTCCTTCTTTTTCTCTTATTTGTTCCTACGGTGGTATTCCTTGTGACTTGAAATTTTACATCTTCCCTTGAACTTTGTATTGGACTTTTTCAGTGACTCTTTCAGAACCCAGGCTGCAATTAAAGAAACATACGTTGCAAGAAAGTACTGGTGATGCAAACTCTGACTCTGATATCAGAGCTGCAATTAAATGACGATCGAGTTAACACAGCATGAAGGAACCTTTTCTATTTGTTGAAATACTTGGTTTACCTGTGCAAATGGAGTGTTCTGTAGATAAGGATGTCTTTTGTTGTAGTGTTATAAAGACAGTTACTGAGCTGATGCAAGTTGTTACAAACTTTCGAGAATCAGGCATATATATTCATCCGTTTCGTTTCTTCTCTGTGCAACATTTATTAAAATGCATTTGGTAGGCCGTACGTCTTTAAAAACAGCAATGCTTGACTAATTGTCTGACTTATCTCTCTGTTTATGTGTTATGACCATAGATTCCAGAGCAGTTTGGTCCAATAAGAACAGTAGCAGAGGGAAAAGGGGATGTTGTATTAATAGGAACCACTAGAAACTTCGTCCTACAGGGCACGCTATCAGGAGATTTTTTCCCAATTACCCAGGTAAGCTGTTGCCTTACAAGAACATTTTGAACTGTGTAATAGCAGTAAAGATATTGCTTGAAGTTAAGTTTCATAAATATGCATTCATTTGATTTATTATTACAGTACTTTTGGCAATAAATAACATTATAAATACGCATCTCTCTAAGCCAATGTACTTTTGTAATGCTTTAATATACAGTTTGGTCATTTAAATCCTGTTTAAACATGTTTAGTTTTGATGGTACTGTTCTTCTTGTCAAGAAATATTTCTGCTTCTGTAGGGTCACACTGATGAGCTTTGGGGACTTGCAGTCCATTCCTCTAAACCTCAGTTCTTCACTTGTGGACATGACAAACACATTACCCTCTGGGATGCTACCACTCATCGTCCTATCTGGAACAAGATTATAGAGGTATAAATTTATTAAACACAACTCTACTCTTACAGAACTTCTCAAGTGATTTGGGTTTTTCATAAGATTATTGATTAAAAATATCTTAAAGTATTTACTTGAGGAAAAAAAAAGAGAGTCATAAAATTTGTCTTTCTGAAAATAGATGTAAAATTCTTAAAAACAAGAATTGTAAATCCTAGGTTATATGGATCTATATGCTGTATCATATAGAAGTGTACAATGCTGTTGACATTTATATTTTTTTATTAGGAAGAGAACCACAAATATATAGCTAGGAAATCTTCATAATTTAGAAGTAGTTCTGGTCAGGATTACTACTACTACTATCTTGAGCATGACAGTCAGAATTCAGAAGGAAAAGATTTTTTTGGTGACGTTTTTGGCCGTCTTCATTTATTTTCTATGATTTATTAGTATTTTTATACATCCTGTTCACAAATAAACAAATGTTTTGGAATTTCACTTCCTATCTCTGGTATGAAACTTGGTGTTTAGGTACTGAAGGAATACTCAGTGGCGGCTCAATTTTATACTGTACTTAGGCACTCAGCTGTGCATCTGCAGACTCCTAATGGCTTTGTGGTAACATGTGATCTTGATTACTACATGCATCACTAGGAACTGATTTTTTAGCATACATTTTTTGACACCTGATCACTTTTCTAGATATTTACCCATAAAAAGACATTGGCTTATCTCCTAGAGACAGCAGTGATGCTTTTATCTCTCTATTTTGAGATGCCACTATCACATTTTTTTCAAACAGTTTTCTCTCTACATTTTTTTTTTAATAGGTGTGAGAGTATGCTTTTTTGGAGATACATGTACTGATCACAATAAAGAAGTTCTCAGTCTTTCTTATCTGCCCTCTGTACAGTGGAAAAGTTCAAAAATTACTTCAGGAAAAAGAAAACAGCACCTGGTATAGATATATATCCAATACACAGGTTTGCAGATCAAATTGTAGCCAGTAACTTATAGATGACCCTCATGTTGCTGACAAAAGTGCTTTCTGTGTGATATAGTAAACGATCCTTTATTAATTTACATGAAGTTTTGAAAATCTTAATTATGCAACTTTTTTTTCATAAAAAGGTTGTTCATTTTCAGGCCTACATACCACTTTAAGTTAAAGCTAGTATCGATAACACTTATTGAATACAATGCATCTGCAGTAGTTGTATGCTGTGGCATCAGGCTGAAGCAGTCTTAACAGAATAGCATTTGCTGAACTGTCTCGTAGTATCCCTCTCCAGTTGTATGCACTTGTTAAATTGTGCTTGCTTGGTGAATGTGGAAATTGGAATTTATTCTGTCTAACCAAGGTCATATGTTCTAAGATCCGTATTTTTGTTGACATAGGAAGCTTATAAAGTGGATGGAGAGACCAAATCAACAGTTACTGCCTCAGAGATGGATCCGTATTTTCACGGTTCAGTGCCTAGATTATAAAGACAGATTGGCCTGTAGTATAAGAACTTACAAGAAAGGAAAATAAAAGTAGTTCTTTTAACGTAAAAAAAAAAAAAATAAAGTGGAAATCAATAATACTAAGAGTTTGGCCTGAGAGGCAGGCAGATAATTGCATTTTCCTACCTCTTGATCATTTTAGGGTTTAAGATACATTATATATGATTTGGATTTAAAAATAAGCTATCTCCCCTTCAGTCTTTAGGAATACTGTAGTTAGGCCTTAGGGGAATGGTCAAATATTGAGACACACCAAAATCCAAAAGTGCTTGAAAATCTCTTGAACTGTTACCAAGATGCCAAATGTAAGATAAAATAAATACCAGCACACTTAGGCTACGAACTTCAGTGACAAAATGTATTTTTAGAAATCAATGAGCAGTTATAAACCAAATTTTCCAGAATCTGTCTTAGTAGACTTTCTAAAAAAAAGATAAACTGGTGCCTTTTTTTGTTTTGAAATACAGCAATAGCAATGTACTGTATTGTACTGTATTGTACTATATGGAATATGAAAACATTCGATTGCAGCAATTCCTTCACATGCAATTCAGAGGGACTCGAACAATGACACGACTGGAAACTTTTACATAGACCTTTCTGGTCTTTATCATATTTTTTTTGTGGATCAAATTTTTAATTTGATTGTTTAGAAATGGAGCATGACTGGTTTTGTGCGAGTCTTATTTATAAATATCCTGAAGTGGAAAGTAAAATCATTGGTACCATATTTTATGCTTTCCTAATAAATTTCTTTTTTTGTTGGAAAAAAATCATCATGTAATGCAACTGCAGGTACTAATGTGATCTTTTGCTCTTCTCAGTGTAAAGGTGTATGCTTTTGTATACTTGCATACACTTTCAAAAACGCTGGGAGAATAAGTCATGAAGAGAAGTGCAAAATTTGGCACTTTGTTCTCTTGCAGTCTAAAGAAAAGAGCATTTAGAATTTTGGGTTGACAGTGAAACATCATTAGTGGAGATAAGTGCAATATGGGGAACAAGAGCAAATCTATTAATCCGATAAGCTGCTGTCTCAGACATAAAGTTACTTAAGTAATCATCAAGTCAAAAAAGGACATTGTTTCCACTGTTTTATCCTTTGTGTCCTCTGAAAAGCAGAACAGGAGTTCAGTTGATTATGAATTACAGTGAGCTTCAATTAATATTTAGCTGTGGTTTTGCAAATATAAGACACTCTCTAAGAAACTCTTGTTATTGAAACACCTAAGAAACTGCTTTATTTACCTTGATTCTTTGGAAAAGTTTGATGGTAACAGCAGTAGGACTAATAAACTAGACTTAGATTTATTTCTTTTCCCCTCCAAGTACACACCGCTTCATTAAGACAAGATTTCTATTATCAGTCTTGACAATAATCTCCTTATTAACCACTTGAAATGTCTGAGACTATGTTTCATAAATCAGTGACTGATTATCTAGAGTAAATAAATCATTTCATGTTAACTTGTTTGTGTCATAGAGATCTATGTAAAAGCTTTATAATGTAGTTAGGAGTACAAGTTACTGCTCAGATTAAATTCACTGTTCAAACCTCTGGTTTATTCAAGAGAATATTTTAGCATTTACTATGAAATTATACTTTAAAAAAATTAGCAAATTTTCCTTTCTGGACTACTGTAGTGGTTTAGAACATGCGTATAGAAATCCTGGATCTCAACAATTCTCTGAAATTTCTTTAGAGTTAGTAACGTCTTTGAAATTAGTCACTTGTTTAAAATTACTGAGAATATCCCTTATACCTACCCTCTAGGGCTAGTAATTATGAATTGCTAAAAATGTGAACAGGTTTACTAAAATGGCTACAATGTGATACTATTTTAGAATGTAGAAAATCAAGGACATAAGCATTTTTGTGAGACCTGTTACTGCATTTTTTTTGCTTACATTTAAAAATTATTTTTGGCAGGTATCAGAAAAAATAAGCTATTTATTTTGGGACTTTCTGCTATAACCCGAAGAGTTCTGGAGATCGTTCTTTGTAACTGCACAAGTATTAGAAAGAAAATGCTTACCTTGTTTTTTAGGCGTATGTTTAAATTGCAAGAAAAACACTGCAATTCTACCCGTCTCCATAATAATACACTATACAAAGTAAAATATTTTAAAATTGCATATCAACATAAGAAACCCAGTTTATGCCCTTAATCTCCCACTAAGCTGCAACTGGCAGGTGCTGAAAAAGGTGTTGACGTGTGTAGAAGTTAGGCTTTACCCCTCCGTGCAAAGTGATGCCTACCTTTGTTGAATAAGGTCCTTGCTTGTCCTTTAGACAGTAGGTAAACTGCAGCTTTGATACTTAATTCTTAGGTCAGCTCTAATTTAAGAAGTTATTTTTATCTCTTACTTGTTTGTGATTTGTTGAGAAGCTGCCTTTGCCAGTGGTATTGTTATGAAATCACTTGCCAAGTTATTTTTAGATAGCGAAGAAAAGTAAACAGTGGCCTTGTACAGAGGGAAAAAAAATCCATTGGGTAATATTTCAATCAGTTAAAAATGCTTTTTTCCCCTCAAGTTTGTATTAAAAAAAACAAAAATAAAAACCCCAGAAAATCAACAAGAGAGATTTACTCTGTTCCTAAGGCAGATAATTGAACTCTGTTTTTGTTATAATTTGGACTGGTAAAAAAGTGTGCTTCCTCTGAAACATTTTAGGATCCAGCACAGTCTTCAGGTTTTCATCCTTCAGCATCTGTTGTTGCAGTAGGGACGCTGACGGGCAGGTAAGATGCGCAGAGCTACACCTTGGGCACCAGCAAACACTACATGATTTTTTCAGCTCACGTCCAAGTTCATGTTCTTGTTTTGCAGATGTATGCATGCCATATATTCACCCCCTATTGATTTCTATTGAATTTCAGAATGAAATTTATTTGTATTGCCTTAGCACCTAGAAACCCTAGTCTTGGACCCATACCCCATGTTTGCCGAGTGTTACATGAACACAGAATGAAGAGGTGGTTTCTGCCCTGGGAGGGTGGCAATCTAAGATCAGTGGGAGGAGATGGATTTGGACAGGGCAGGAAGCCTGGGTTAGCAGTGAGACTGTGCGTGGGAGGTGCTGTCACCATACCAGTGACCTAAATGTTAAATCTTTGTGTCCATCGTGGCAAAGGAGAGCCTAAAGGAGGAGTCTGAGATAATGAGTTAACTTTGCAGATGCATAGAGAGGTCTTCTCTCAGGCCTGTAGGGCAGTGTAGAGGAAATTACATAGAAAAATGTTGCTCGTTGGAAAATTTAGCAAGTGGTTTATTATCCCTAATGCAGTGACAACCAGAGGCTTTAGCAAAAATTTGGCAAATGTTCCACTGTGCTAGACATAGTGTAAAAATGTGTATTAAGAGACTTGTTCTGCCTGAAGAGTGTAAGGCATAAACAAGACAGACAAAACCGGGGTGAAAAGTAGTATCTTCATTTTCCAGGGCAGACTGAGCCCTTGGTCACAGTGGGTCAACAGCGGACGCTGGGTTGAGCCTTGGTTGCCTGTCATAGGAGGAAGGAGTGCCTTCACCATAGCTTCGTCCTCTCCTTTAATGTCACTTGAGGGCAGACTTTGCTGTTAGTATTGAAAACAGTTCCACTTAACTGAGTACATACAGAATGCTTATAGGTCATGAGCCAAGATTATTTAGGATTGTGTATCAATCCTAAATAAAGGATTTACTTTAGTTACTAAATTTACTTTATTTACTAGATAAAGTAAATCAAAATGAGAAGCTTTGAGAGGAATCTTTACTTTGTCTTTCATAATTGATGCAAGTATTGAAATGCAAATTTTGTCTTTGTCCCTTCCACGTGTTTCCACAAATTAAATTTTGGTTCATTAGAATTAATTAAATTAAATTAATTAAAATTAATACATTAATTAACTTAAAAATAAATTAATAAATAAAGCTAATCCTTCTATCAAAAGAGAATGGTCCTGATTCTTGCTTGTGTTTTCCTTAGCGCTAGGATTTAATGTAGGCATGAATTTAAACGTGAGCATAGTGTAGAGAAGGGTCATTATATGTAGTGCTTACTTTATTCTAATGCATGACATACAGTAAAACAGACTAAAATCTGAAGACTGATATCAGGGTCAATGTCTGATCATTTTATGGTTAAAAAACATGGGAAAGAAACTATCCTTCTGTTAAAGTAAAAATAAACCAAACCGAGTAGCAGTTTCTGTTTCTCTTTTGCTGGTGTAAAACTTATGCTATTTTGACAGAAGAAAAGTTGGTCAAGACTACAGTAGATTTAAATTCCTTATGGAATGATTTATTGGCCTCTTTCTGTATTTACAACAGGTGGTTTGTGTTTGACACAGAAACAAAAGACTTGGTCACTGTACACACAGATGGAAACGAACAGCTGTCTGTAATGCGTTACTCACCAGGTTTGAGAGCGTTTATTTACTGGTTAAAAAGAAGTGTTGAATTTTTTTATTAAATTTGGGGTTGGTTTGTTTTTAAAATAAGTCCCCACTTGCCATAGTGAAATTGAAAATAAATATGCCATGCAACATTGGCAACACTGCATGGGTGGTGTCTTAAGCTCTAGTTTGCTTTTCCCTCCCTCCCTCCACCACATGCTCAGTGTGGTTTCACTGGGAAGGAAAAAAACAAATATGACTTAACTGTGCAGGTTGTTGCAGTCAGGTTAGCCCTAAATGGACTGTAGCCGCTTCCAGAAGTGTCATGTTTTTAACAGTAATATTTGCTGTATAAACTTGCTGTTTTGTAATCTTGAAACATGCATCAAGAAGAAACTGAAAAAGAAAAAATATAATTTTATTGTTTCATTTTTTGGTATCAAGGCCTTTAAGAACAGCTCCTCTTGTCTGTGACACACTAATTTTTCAAAATTAGTTCTTTCTTATAGGAATAATTACTCTTTACTTTTGTGTTTATAGATGGAAACTTCTTGGCAATAGGTTCCCATGACAACTGTATTTATATATATGGCGTAAGTGAAAATGGAAGAAAGTACACTAGAATTGGCAAATGTTCGGTAAGTCACCTTTTCTTTTCTCCTGGGCAACATTAACAACTTCAGTATGTTTTGTAGCACTGTATTAGCACTGTCACATTGAGAGATACCTTTAGTGCAGTTAATACAATATTTTTCTCTTTATAGGGTCATTCCAGCTTCATTACTCATCTGGATTGGTCTGTTAATTCACAATATCTTGTGTCTAATTCAGGAGACTATGAAATCTTATACTGTGAGTAAGAATTATATTTAGTCCTTTTGTGCAAAGTTCAGGCAGTCTAATGCAGATTTAAAATTTAAATGAGACCATATAACTGCCAAGATAGACCATATGTTTTAATTCATCTGGTGCAATCAAAATTCTATACAATTTGAGAATTAAAAATGTTATCATGTGATTGTTTTTTTTTTCTTTTGTAGGGATCCCCTCTGCTTGTAAACAAGTTGTGAGTGTTGAAACAACTAGAGATCTAGAATGGGCCACTTACACCTGTACTTTAGGATTCCATGTTTTTGGTAAGTATCCTTCCTCTTACAAGTTCTTACCATTCTTGTTGTTAACAAACACTTGGATTGCCAACTTCTCCGTATGAAACATGACTATTCATATTTCAGGGAAAAATACAGAACTTCTGTTATGCCATTTTTATTACAATCTGTCTTCTTATTTCAATCCAGAAAGACTCTGATTTCGTATTCTTGCTAGCTCCAAGTATAAATATTAAATTACAACATAAGTGGGAGACAAGGAAGAAATCACACACTATCCTTTCTGTTACACTAGAGCCGATTCTCATCTCTTTAAATTTAAAGTACCAGTTCTATGGAATTATCCTTTATTTAGGCAGCTACTGGGCCAAATCCCCTTACCAGAACCAGTTTCATTTGCACCAGTTACTGTGGAAACACAAAACAGGTGAATGTATCTGTCATTAAATACTTACAATGTATTTTGATACAATATATAACAATTAAATGAGGTGAAAGGCATGCAAGAAGAAAGAAGAATAACGTAACAGAATCAGGATGGTTTGTTTCCATGGGACTTCTCTTCTGCCAGTTTTGAAGGAGCTGCTTTCCCCAGTGTACTCTGGGCTTTTTTGCTCTTTCCACAATGTGTGCAGAACTAGGCAAATCGTTACAAAACCTGAGTACAAGAAGATTCAAATTCTTGAGTCCTCAAGATAAAGTAGGAAGCCATGGTAGAAGTTCACAGAAGAGTCTGGTTTAGTATAAGCAGTAAGCAAGGAAGATTTTCACCCATGTTTCAAGCAGAGCAGATGCAGTGATGTGTTTGAAAGCAGCCAGAAGGGACATGTTTTTAGAGCCTAGAAGATGGGATGGCAGTAGCAATATGCTAGGAAGAAACATTCAAATTTTCTAAAATTTAACTGGCAGGCAGTGCATGAGTATCACTGCAACACACAGTTCAGTAACAGGAGGAAGTCCTAGAAGACTGGCTGCATGTTAACTTAATATGCTTCTCGTATGAGGGATGAAGGCCCTTATAGAACTATTAGCATATTCCTGGGCTCTGGGTATACCTGACACACAGTTACAGAGACACAAAGTCTTTGCATTTAGCATCAAAGGTTCAGATATTCTGAAATGATGAATTCTTTAAGTGCGTATTCCTTACTTTATAATTTGGATTAATGCAAAATATAGTGCTAAGAGAATATGGGGCTGCTAGTGGTGCATAGGGTCTCGTAGGAGAGGGATGTCACACCTAAAAGGGCTTTTTTTTCTCCCCTGGAACGGATCAGCTTTTGGAGCAGGTCTGTGGAACAAAATGATCTACTGGGCCAATGGGGAACATGTGGAAACGTCATATACTTTTTTTTGTACTTGCAGTCCTCCATGCCGAACTGGGGTATTGTAGGCTAGAGCAGCAGGGATGAGGAATAAATGAAAGTAGTTGCTAGTTTAAATAATTATCGTAATTATTATTTTAGTAATGTAATACACATTGTGAGGATGTTCATCAAATGAATGGAATTTTAAAGTAAAAGGATGTAACTTATTCAGAAAGGATGTGTAATGCCAAAGTGGTGGAACATTTTTATATACCTTGTATCTGTAAAAACAACTGGTTAGCATAATCTCAAGACCATTAGTACTTATTTTCAGGACCTCACAGAGAACAGGCAAGGTAGTGAAAACATGGTGCCATATATATACTGAGGATTCATAGCTATACAGTTAGGTTCAGACTGGGAAGTTACAAAGATAATGCATAATAATTATAGATGAGAAAAAGAATATTAATGGTGGCAGGGTTATACTGTTGCCTGTCCTTCCAGAAAGATCAAATGAATGGAATTTTTTTTAATAGCTAGCAGAATCAGTCAAATCACAGGAATTTCTGAGGATGTGAGATTTTAAATATTCCAGTGTCTCTGGGAAAGGAATTACAAGTACACCGCGTAACCAGCAAGTTCTCAAAATTCTTCTGCTACAGGAAATAGATAAGCACCTAGAGGGGAGTTTCTTCCAGATTTGATTCTAGGGAGGTGGAAAGAACTTGCTGAGAATGTGAATGCACCTTGTGTAGGAATGACTATGGAATCAGGGAGGTGTGATCCTTGGAATAGGAAGGAAAAAGAGCAACAAAATGAAAATAATGGACGTCGGGGAGGGAAACTGCTGAAGTCCAAAGCCCTGTTAAGGAAGATCAGAAGTTGGAGAAAAGATGAGATGTGGTAATTCCTTAAAAGGTACGAAGGGCACAAACTGCCAGCCCAGAGGAAAGATAGAAATGGTGACAAGACACAAACTTGGTTAAGCTGTTCCTACAAGGAAGAGGAATGCAGAAAGTAGAAACTGTGTTGGAGGACCAAGCAGACCTAACATAAATAAAACCTAAACATAAATGCAAGTGACAAGTACAGTAATAAAAGAAGGGCCAAGGATAATATTGGTCTGCTACGTGGGGAGGAGGGAGAGGGGGGATGACACTGCTAAAGCTGAAGTGTTTAAAAAAAACTTTTTTTTTTTTTCTTTTTAGTATGTCTTCATTAGAAGACCTGCTACAATCTGATGACTAACCCAGTTAGAGCCAGTAATGAAAGGATAAGGCCTCTGCTTTCAGTAGGGACGGAATAGATTAGAAAATAGTTAGGAGTTAGATATTTTCAAAGTATCTGAGTGTGATGAACCTTGTATCTGTAAAAACAACTGGTTAGCATAATCTCAAGACCATTAGTACTTATTTTCAGGACCTCACAGAGAACAGGCAAGGTACTGAAAAAATGGAGAAGAATGAGTGCAACATCTGTGGAATCATATACTTACCTTCAGAGCCCATATGGAGAGGATAAAGTGAAAAGTTAGTGGCTAGAATAATAAATTGAATAAACTCATAAATTATAAATTGGAGACCAGTCTGGTAATGTTAGAAGTCACTCTACTATTCAGTACTTTGGGACCTCAGAGCAGCCAGTATGAACAGTCTTTAAATGCTTGCTGGGATTGCCCCACTGGACACAGAAGAAGCAATCGCATCAAGGATGTGAGGCATCTCGTATATTGATTTTTCAGCAGCTACTGGCTGACTGAAGCTAAGGATATTTTCTCACTCTAGTAGAACCACATAAAAATCACAAATGGTATGCATAGCACTTGCACAGCAACGTAACCAATGCAGGGGGGAAAATGAACATGGATCTGTTGAACACCTGTCTTCAAGCATGGGAACAGATTAGTCAGCCTGGAAATGTTTAGAGATGATTCAACTGAAGATCAACAGCATGTAAAGTGTGTCCAGTGGAGGGTATTTTAGTGATACAAACACATGTCAATGTGAAGGACTACAGACTTTAAAACACTTACTGATCTGCATGTTCTTGCAAATGCCATGTGCTGCTGGATACACAACCAAGGCATCAGTTCATATCACGTGCCCAGTTTTGGAAAACTTAGTATTTGAGGTGAAGGACAGGAGCAGAAGAAATCTAAGATGCTGTGCAAAGCATGACAACATTGCAAGCAAAGCAGAGCTCAGGCTGGTTGGGTTCAAAACTGGCTAGAAGGCTGTACACTGAATATTATGTTTGAATATATTTATTAGTAGCATGGGTGATAAAACAGCACGTATAATTTGTAGGTTGCGTGAAGCTGCAGGATTAGCAAATTGTCTTGAGAAACAGAGGAATGGTATGAAAAAAGGGGCAATTCAATAGAGACAAATAGGAGGTTGCGCACTTGAACAGCAGAACCCAGTTGTACAAATACAGAATGGAGAAGAGCAGGCAAGAGAGCAGATCTGCACAGAAAGATCAGATTACTCCTGCATATAAACTGAACATGAGTCAACAGCATTATGCTGTTGTAGAAAAGGCAGATGCATTAGTGGGATATGTAATGAAAAGGATGCCATGCAAAATGTGAAGTAATTGTCCATTTATCAGTATCTGCTTCAGTCACAGCTGGAGTAGCTGCTTCTGGTTTTTGCATGTTTGACCAACAGATAATGTGCTGACTAGCAAGAATAATTATCCATCTAAATATTGTTCTGTGAGAAGAGATGTAATGAATGAATTTTAGGGAACAGGAGGAGAAAAAAAGCATGACATCAATCTTCAAATAAGAAAAAGGAAACGATCTCTTTTACCATGTCTGCAGAGGATGGGAAGAAAAAAATGGACTAATTTTTCAGCAAAGGGGATTCAGCTCATATATTCAGAAAAACTAACAGTGAGGCACTGGAATAAATTTTGAAAGACCACAGACTCTCAAAAAAAAAAAAAATCAAAACAAAAAAACAACCCTGATATCATCCTTTCCCCGTTTCAAAATGGCAATCTGCGTTTTTAAACCATTTCCTTTAGGGGTTATCTCCAGCTTGTCATAAAGATGCCTGTCTCTTCAGCTAGCATTTGATGTTCATACAGCCTCCTTTTTGTCAAAGCAATTATTTAGAACAGCTTTTCTGTGTCTTTTCATTCTATGTATTCATAATTCCACAAGTAGCAATTACCGTGTTTCTTCTTTGCACCTTCCTTTTCTTTCTTCCCTGCCTCGTTTTTAATAACCCCGATCTACCAAAGAGGTGTTTCTACACACATCTGGAGAGTTAGTGGCAGCCCACAAATCAGTACTTTGTGTTTCATTTTATTTACAACAATTTGTAATTCCATATAAAGACGTGGAATCACTTCCTCTTAGTGCTTTGGAATTGCTGTGCAATGATACAAAGACTGTATTTGGGAAGAATGACGTGCGGATTGAAGGCTAGCTGTTTCCACAGTGCAGGGCAGATGCCCACTTTGGTCTTATCAGTAGCCCAAAGAAGGGAAGCTGGAGTGTGCCTGCCCTGCCTGTGGGCACAGGCATCCTTCCAGGAGGTGGGAGGGCAAGCAGGGGGACTAGCAACCGTCTCATCCTGAGTTGTAATAGCAGCAAAGGAAGAGCATGCACTCAAGCGGTAGGACTTCAGGGGGACACTGCAGAGGATGTGTGACATAGGGACAGTCATTGAAAAGCGTAACGCCAAGACAAGGCGGGGGTTTTTGCCAAATTATAATGGCAGAACACACATCATAACTGATTATGTCAGTGGTCTCTGAAATTTAGGTATCATTTATGTTGAGTAGGGATTAGATAAAATCTGAATTACGAAAATCATAAAAAAAACCCACAGTATTGCATAAAAAAAAAAAGACATTTCAATAACTGGTTGGATTTTATTACAATTACAGTTTATTACAGGCAAGTATTCAGAGGCTTTAAAGATGTGGTGCATAGATTTGGTCCTTGCATTGATGAGCCTACAGTTTAATTGTAGAACACCACTTTGTGCCAGAACAGCAAGGAGTAGAGTATGTGAGGAAAGAGGAGAGTTACTTAGAGTAAAACAAAAGCATTTTAAAAATTTATAGTAGGTTCGGTTTCTTTTTGAGGGTTCTATTAATTACTAAATAACATGTTAAACTATATATTTTCTTGTTTCATAGGTTTTAGACTTTAGTAATATGAAGAAAGTATGTTGACTACTAATATGAAGAAAGTATGTTGAAAGTATGTTGAACTGCCTACTACATAGGCAGTTTTTTAGACTACAGTAGTATGAGGAAAGTATGTTAGCTCATACATAAGCAGAAGGGAAAATAAAAGCAGTAACTGTTATTTTTCTACATAACCAGATGAAAATTCTTTTAGGCTCAGACACATGACTGTAATTCAGCAGAATTCTTTTTTTCAGAGTAAAAAGCACTTTGCTGACTAGAGGAAAGAAAGTATTTGTTTATGTGCTTGATTTCCTGTTAGGATCTGGTCTTTTGCTGGTACTGAAGTACGCAACCTGACTCAGCTGCAGTTATTTTTACAGTTTTATCTTTTTTCTTTTTTTTAAACAAGTAATCCTTTATTAATATTTTAACAAAAACTTAAGCTGTCACTTTTATTTCCATTATAAAAGCCTTTAATTACTCCCTCTGTGTTTCAGGTGTATGGCCTGAAGGTTCAGATGGAACAGATATCAACGCTGTCTGTCGATCACATGGGAGAAAACTGTTATCAACAGGGGATGATTTTGGCAAAGTACATCTCTTCTCATATCCATGCTCACAGTTTAGGGTAAGGTATTTCCAAAAAATTTACTCTTGTAACTTGTGCAAATGCATTAAATGTTGTTTGCCTATGTACAAAAAGAAAAAAAAAAAAAGAATGGGAATATGTATATGCCTAAGGGATTTACTTAAGGTTGATTGAGACTACAATTAACTTTAAAATTTAATTTAATATTAAAATACTTTAAGAGAATGATGTGATGCCTTGGTTTCATTGTCGTATGAATGTTATGTTACAACGATGTTTTTATGACAGTTTATATTCTCACTAATATGGTGTTTTCTAGGCTCCAAGCCATGTGTACGGTGGACATAGTAGTCATGTAACTAATGTAGATTTTCTCTGTGAAGACACCCATCTCATCTCCACAGGCGGAAAAGATACAAGTATTATGCAGTGGCGAGTCATTTAAAGGAAACATCAGTGTGAACGTACGCAGTTGAGTCGACCATGCACAGAACTTATGTATAAACTGTATATTTAAAACTTAACAGTATGTTTGCAGTTTAGCCTGGTCACTGTGATTTTTTGTTTAAAAAAATTCTTACAAACCTCAGGAAAATTAAGCCCTGTGCTGGTTACCTTACTCAGTCTAGTGATTTTTTTTTTTCATTGTGTCACACCTTAAGAATGATCGTTTTCTCTTCTGTTGTACAATATACAACGCAGTACAAGTTTAATATAAGAAATGTGGCTTGACAGTTTGCAATACAGTGGTATCAGCAGAATGTGACTATCATCTTAAATGTTTTCTATAAACACTGCTAAAATGGTCACAAAAATGCCTTTCAAAGACTGTATATATGTGCTTACTTGTTTCACTATCTACACTTTGTACTGTATATCTACTTATTCAGAAAAATCTATGACAGTGTCGAGGTACCGAATTGTTTCTGATGGAGGATGATGAATAGATACAAAAAGTATAAATTGAGATGTAAGATGCAAAAAGTAGTGTTCTAGACCTGAAAATGTGAATGCTGGTAAATTTGCATTCTCTTGGGAATAGCACACCTTGGGTACCACTTGTGAGGAGTTGTGTTCCCCTTCAAGTGAATCAGCAGGTTATGCCCCAGTTTGACCTGAATATCTCAGCAGGGTTTACAGATGTCTATGTGGTTCAGGTGTTCCATATGAGTTTAAATTAAAAATCTTTTTACTTGTATATGAACAATTTCTTTTTGAAAACAAAACAAAAAAGCTTGGCCACATCCCCATTATTGGTTGATATATTTAACTAATATGTATATTAATCAGCATGATGCTATATTGTACATGTATAAGATTTTAGCAGTTCATAACAAATGGTAAGGCCATCTAGCTTTACTTTTTTATGCTTATGGATATTGTATATTTGTATTTTAAGACCAAGTAGACTAAGTCTAAAGATATCTTTTTAAGTGTACCATAAACCTGCAGAGGGTAAAGGAAGTCTTGGAAGCCTACATGAGATATTAATGTGTAACTTCTGACCCCTGTGTTTTGTGCATGGATGGATATTTATAGTATGAAATAAGATTGTGTTTTGCAATGAAGTAATAGTGGAGGTGGTATAAAATGGTTAAGAAGGCCTTATCAATGTTGATTGTGACACAGATTGAAATGTATTGTTTACTTTGAGGAATGTATCTGAAGAATTTTAAAAAAGAGGCGTTCTAAGCAGACTCGAAAAAGGTAATATTAAAATTGCGCTTGTAATGGACAGTAAACGTTAATTCTCTGAACTCTAAAGCACTGGTTGTTTAGAGTGATTTAAATGAAATGGAATCAATAAATTTTGAAACTTTTTTATTACATCTCCAACCTCCTACACTGAAAGTGCAGGACACCAATAAACATGTATTAAAGTGAATTTTCAATGCATTCGTCCTGTTTGGTAAAATATCTTTGTTTCAACGTGAAATACTTATGGAAGAAGCAAGGTTTCACTTAACAACACACATTTGTGATTTCTCAGTTGGAGCTGCATTTGAAAATATTTGGGAATAAAATCTAGATTTTGGGGTCCATAATTTGATGTGTGAGCATGACCCTGGGAATGTGATCCCTAATGCACGCCCAGAGAGCGAAGCTCCAGGTTCACGGCAGGGAAGAGGGACATGCCGCGTGCTTTCACCTACAAGGGGCCTTGGTTCTGCCTCCCAGTGCACGTGCCTGAGCACTCGCTGGTGGAGGAGCGTCGTTCCACTGCACAGCGTTATGCTCGTGGCAGGAGCTCCTGAGAATTTCTGTGGGTTAGGAACTCATCCTCGGGCAAGACTTCCGAAGGCCAGGGTTTCAGGGTCACTTTAACCTGACATTATCTAGTACTGTCACTGAAGGAAGAGGTCTTGCCCCCAGCTGCTTATTCCCATCACGTGCAGCAGCACAAGAGTAGTTGTGGCCAAAGGCAGAACCCAGCTGGGATGGACCCAGGATAGGAGAAAAAAAAAAAAAAAGGCCAAGCAAGCAAAGAACAGCTACTACAAAACAGCAAATCCTTTTCCTCAGTTTCCTCATCTGGTTTAGCTGTGCAGCTGTATGAATGCTTGTATGGAGCTTGTACAGAGGCAGGAGCAATGTGGAGAAGTAGTAAATGGACAGAGGAGCACCAGAACGAGTTCTTTGGATGGCGATGTCCATCTCCCTCTGCTTGAAGTGTGTGAAATTAAGGCATAATATCCCTACCCTTTCTAGGGTTAATCCAATCCTAAGAGGTTGTAATACGCAAGTGACAGGTTCTCATCTTGTTTGGATGCTTCTGTTTATTAATTTTTTTTGCTTTTGCAGATGGGGTGCTTTCAGATTTTCTGCTTTCAGAATTGTAGGTGATTTGTCATTACTTGCAACAGAGAAAACAGGAGCTGCAAATTGGGTTGGCTCATTCCCTTTTCATCCTTCTCCCACGGTGCTACTCTTGGGATGTAATAGTGTATTTGTGATCCCCTTCTTCATTTTAAACTATTATCCCTTACAAGAAATAGATGAGGAATCCTGCAAGTTCATCCCTAGGGTTACTGATCAAAGGGGATTTTCAACAATCCCATCCTATCTGTGCTTCTGGTGCTCCTCTCTTTCTAACTTTTGGTGTTAAATGTGTCTTTGTTCCTCTATGAAAACCTGATAAGTGCATTAGCTGAATTGGCGAATGGTGGGTAACGTCTCGAGCCAATATCCGTTTGATGACCGTTAAAGTAATTCTTCTTTCTTTATCCAGGAAATTCTACACAATTTCACCATTGTTATACATAATCTTCAGCCCTCCCCACTTCCACCCTTGTTCCTTCGTTCTTGCATTTATTTGTTTTCTCAGGAGTGTCCTCTTTTTTGCTTTAAAAGAAAAAAAAAAAAAAGAAGAGAAAAAAAAAAAGAAAGAAAGAGTTATTCCTGAACTTTGCGTATTTCATTCCCTCAGCAGCACGCAGGACTCTTACACCTGATTCCTTCACCTGATACTGCACCGGCAGCAGTTGTCTTTTCCTGCCCTTCCATGGAGCGTAAAGCTGCTTCTCAGGTCCATGGCTGGAGCTACGGCTGGGCTTCAGCTCCTGCTCCTTCCCTCCCCTGATCTTGGCTCTCAAAGAAGAGACTCATCTCTTTGTGCCTCTTGTGAGTTGCTGTTGTCTACCAAGCATTCAGCTACTCCCTTTCAGCTTTCCTCAGTTTCAGTTCCTGTTTCTTGCTTTTCTTCCCTTCATTTCCAGCAGTGCTCTTCTGTGACTTCAGCTTCCAGGACCGCATCCACCTTAGCCCTTACCTGCATGTTTTGCTGCCCTTAACTGCTTATGAAACCAGTGGCTCTGACTACCTCTCTGATCGTTTTGGGGCTGGGTTCCTCATTTCTTACTGTATCCTGTATCCACGCTGCTTCTTTGACTTGAACTCAGCAATATGAGTGACTGTGCATCTGCTTTAGCCCCTTCCTCCCTGCCCTCCTTGTATGAATGTACTGAGGGGACCAACAGTGTCTCCTTTCTCGAATGTCCTCTGTTTGTCTGTGGGCAGCCCTGTAATGTATATCACATACTTAGATTTTAAAATCTTTTTTAGGGTAGGGCTTTTTTTTCTCTGTTGTCGTATGGCATTTAGCAATAGGATTTTGTGTTCCTACACTCACTACAGCAGTACGACTGCCATATTTGTCCAAAATGATGAGCGTGTATAGTCAGGTAACACTCCTGTGTCAGGATATTCAGAGTCATTAGCTGCTGAAGTTGATAATATCTATTCTCCAAGTCTTAAATTATTCAGAAAACAATACATATGCTTTCAAAAGACTTATTCCTCTTTCTTTATACACTTATAAAACAAACATAGACTCAATCTGGTTTTTAGGATCATTGCCCATTTTAAAGTAGAGGCTTTTCATCATTTTGTTTACCTCTCCTGCCTGTTTTCATATATTTATTTTACTCCTAAAGGACACATATTTGTATTATATCAAAACCACAGCCTTTTTCAACTTAATTCTGTATGTACAATTTGAATTACTACCTGAAAGATGATTATTACATAGATATTTTTGGTAGTGCTCAGTTTTGACAGGTTGTTGAAAGCTGACAGGTATTAGGAATTTCCAACAGATGAGCGCTACAAAAATTAGTCACTGTACAAAAAAAAAAAAAAAAAACAAAAAAACCAGCAAAGAAAGGAGATAAATGTAAGCGATAGTAAATAGTTTTTAATGCTGGCGAATTAAGACCACCCCACCATTTCAAATGATTAAAAAAATCTTCTCATAAAGCAAATCATCTTTGTAAAATGGATTTTTGCTATTCTAATTAAGACAAGGTCATATTTCCTATGTGAAATGTTTGGATGAAATTTGTTCTTCAAAAGAATTAATATTAGAAGGTTTTATTTCCCTTCAAAATTATTCATGTGAGAAGAGCTTTCAGGGGCAACCAGCCCCTTTTTTGCAAGGGTTGGCATTTTTCATTTCTTCAGGTTCTGCTCAGAGAAGCAGGCGGTCTTTTAGTTGTGTTTTCTCCTCCATCCCTGGAAGAAGGGCTGTTGACAGATCACTCGACTGCATCCTCTAAAATCCTACAGATGGCAGGGAAAATGTCACTTTAATTACTAGTGAAAAGAACAGACTTACGAGAAACCTAAACAGAAATCTTTTTCTTCCGTTACCGGCCGGGATTCACAGCCGCGCTGGCGCGGTCCGATCACTGCCGTGCCGCTCTCGCGCTGCAGCGGGCTGCCCTTCAGAGGAGATGCCCCACGCCAGAGCATCTCCTGGCCCAAAAGATGGGAGATAAGGAACCGACTCCTGAGGGGAAGGACAGAGTAGCACCCACATCTGTCTGCTCCTGGACGGAGGCTGCTGGCTGCCGGATGAGTGAGTACATCAGCGGTTGACGCTCTTGCTGGGAGAGATTTATGTTTCTCCTTAGTCGTGCAGTTCTGCGGCAATTTCATTTTTCTTAATGGAACAACTTTTTCCCCTGAATTCATTAAATAATTATAGAAGACTGAGTGATAATTTACATGGAGGTATTGACGACAGTTCGGCCAAAGCTGCATTTTAGCACTAAGTTTGGTAGACCTTATTTCTGTCAGTGGTGATACCGATGGGCTCATCTGTGAAAGCCACTTGGGGGACCTTTGTCAATCAGGATGATTCACAGCATTGTGGGTTTCCCTCGGTCTCCTGCCAAACGTGGAAGTGTAAGAAGGTGCCTCCTTTCGACAGAGCCTCTGCGCTGTTAGTGGCACCAGGCTC